GAGTCTATCCATCGCAAAATCACGGTTAACTTCTCTACAAAGTGTTACTTATTTATCCACCCTCGCGGGATGGTGGGCTGAGCCAACCTCCAGCCAGGATTTGAACTCGCGACCTTGTGATCGTGAGCCGCTTGCTCTGTCGCTGAGCCACATTGGCCGGTTGTAATTATGATACGAGCCATTATCTATCCACTGGTGGCTGAAGCACCCCGATGCTGTTGCCATCCCTCACGGTGCTGCGATGCCACGTCATCCTGTACAGATGCTATATGCGTACAGTGTGTGTGGTGGTACCCTCAGGGTTACGTTTTGCCAGCTTGGGATTGCAGACAGCACGTGGTTGATATTCAGAGAGGATCGTTAGCGATATGCCTTGGCAACTACACCATTTGGTCGAGGGTAATACCGCGCAAGACTGACAATTCCAATTCCTCCCGCCGTATTTATCTATATTAGTATCCACAGTGAACCCCTTAATCTGTTTGGCACAACAATCCCATCTGAGCTGTCATGGAATGGTTGTATTGTATTACTCATTTGGCTATTGCGTCATCCATGACGAGGCTTGGTTTTATTTTCCGTACGAAAGCATTAATTCCAAGCACAATTATCACTCCTGCTATACAAAGCACAATTATCACTGCTTCTATACAAATCACAAATTTTGTAGAAGTTAGAGTCCTGTTGTGATATCTCGGGCGAAGAACCCAGTTCCTACCTCCTTGTACTCGATATAATTCAATGTGAAGCGTTCGTCAGGGTGATTCATGATCCATCACTCCCTGTTTATTATCATTACACGTGTTTACCCAGTAAAGCCTTACGAGTCTGATGCATATTTTTAAGAGGATCCTGCCATATGTGTCCAATGATTACTATGTGTAATCTTAAATGAGTACAGGTAGTCGTCCTCGACTTACGAACACCCGACTTACAAACATGAGCACTTACGAACAAGCTTCCATGAAATACATATTTATAACTTTCACTTAAAACGCAACTGGCACTTGGAAAAATTGACCCGCGAACTATTTTGTTCAGCTGAGCGATCCTCTTGCGAGACGTAACGAGTCAGCCTCGTGCTGGGAGTGAGCGTTTGTGTGTTCCGACTTACAAACCATTCGAGTTACGAATGGGCATCAGGAACGAATTATGTTCGTAAGTCGGTGACTGCCAGTAATGCCACTCCATCTTCTTGGTTCTTTCGGTAAAGTCACGTAGAAGGGAAGTAATAAAATAATAAAAATAAAACATAATAAGACAATTCTCACGAGGTTTCGGCTACAACGCAAGCAGCCGTCTTCAGGTAAAGAATGAGACACTACCAAGCTAGGAGCTTATATATACGCTGGGTTGGAGGTGCAAGAAGGGCGCCTTAACAAATATGGGCATAATATGACTTTTAAACCCCCCCGCCCACCTCCTACGCATTTCCCATGAATATGCTAAATTCCTCTTCATATGCACATTCTTTTTGTAGCCGAAACGTCGTGAGAATTGTTTTATTATGTTTTATTTTTATTATTTTATTACTTCCCTTTCTACGTGACTTTACCGAAAGAACCAAGAAGATGAATCCCTGCAGTCACGAAAGCTTTAAATCGAAATGCCACTCCAGTCACTCACTTTCCGGCGGTTAGTCACTTCCTGATCAAACTTAATTTGGAGCTTTCGTGACTGCAGGAATTATTCTTTGGTTCTTTCGCTAAAGTCACGTATAAAGATAAAATAAGTATGCTAGTATTTAATTTAATGTATTATTTTATCTTTATACGTGACTTTACCGAAATAACCAAAGATACTTCCTGATCATTCTGTTATCGTTATTACCCTGGTTAATGTCCCCGTGAACTACTCTGTTGAGGACTCGGTCTACAAGGCTGGCTGTTCCGTCTCGTCCACATCGTGTTCCACCACCACCACCACACCGCAGGTCTCAGCAATCTGATTCCTCTTTGTATGAATGTTGAACTTCTGTTGCACCGTACGTAGCCAACTGTGCTAATCGGAGGTGCGGGGGAAGGACAACAAACTAAACACAAAAAAGCAGGAAATGCCCTCCCACCATCATCTTTCACCAAGTTCTTATAACCTCACTCAATCCAAGACACGTGTTAACCCCTTACGTATTTACAACGTTGATGGTGCATTTTGTTGCGAGCCCGCTTTACGATGTGGGCCTGTGCTCAGCACCTATGTTAATAAAAAAAACAATTTAAATACGTAAACAATACATACATTGCGCCAGAGAGAATGATTGCAAACACGTGTCTGAGAATGCTTCCCGAGGGGTTTGATGGGTCCCACAATTGTCAGACCAGGTTCCAGAAAAGCCCCGCGGAGGATGGAGGTCGTGGAAGCGGCGCACCGCGGCGGCGTCTGATGGACACTGCGAGCGAATCCACGTTGAGAATGTGCAGCAGGGGAAGCAACAGCCGAAGGAGGAAGTAGGTGGAGTGGTGAGGAAGTGGAGTGGTGAGGGAGTGGAGTGGTGAGGGAGTGTGTGGTGTTGTGAGGGAGGGTGTGGAGAGGGAGGGAGTGGTGAGGGAGGGAGAGTGGTGAGGGAGTGGTGAGGGAATGGAGTGGTGAGGGAGTGGAGTGGTGAGGGAGTGGAGTGGTGAGGGAGTGGAGTGGTGAGGGAGTGGTGAGGGAGTGGAGTGGTGAGGGAGTGGAGTGGTGAGGGAGGGTGTGGAGAGGGAGGGAGTGGTGAGGGAGGGAGAGTGGTGAGGGAGTGGTGAGGGAATGGAGTGGTGAGGGAGTGGAGTGGTGAGGGAGTGGAGTGGTGAGGGAGTGGAGTGGTGAGGGAGTGGTGAGGGAGTGGAGTGGTGAGGGAGTGGAGTGGTGAGGGAGGGTGTGGAGAGGGAGGGAGTGGTGAGGGAGGGAGAGTGGTGAGGGAGTGGTGAGGGAATGGAGTGGTGAGGGAGTGGAGTGGTGAGGGAGTGGAGTGGTGAGGGAGTGGAGTGGTGAGGGAGTGGTGAGGGAGTGGAGTGGTGAGGGAGTGGAGTGGTGAGGGAGGGTGTGGAGAGGGAGGGAGTGGTGAGGGAGGGAGAGTGGTGAGGGAGTGGTGAGGGAATGGAGTGGTGAGGGAGTGGAGTGGTGAGGGAGTGGAGTGGTGAGGGAGTGGAGTGGTGAGGGAGTGGTGAGGGAGTGGAGTGGTGAGGGAGTGGAGTGGTGAGGGAGGGAGTGGTGAGGAAGGGAGTGGTGAGGAAGGGAGTGAAGTGGTGAGGAAGTGGAGTGGTGAGGGAGTGGAGTGGTGAGGGAGGGGAGTGGTGAGGGAGTGGAGTGGGGAGGGAGGGGAGTGGTGAGGGAGTGGAGTGGTGAGGGAGGGAGTGGAGTGGTGAGGGAGTGGAGTGGTGAGGGAGGGAGTGAAGTGGTGAGGAAGTGGAGTGGTGAGGGAGTGGAGTGGTGAGGGAGTGGAGTGGTGAGGGAGGGAGTGGAGTGGTGAGGGAGTGGAGTGGAGAGGGAGGGAGTGGAGTGGTGAGGGAGGGAGTGGTGAGGGAGTGGAGTGGTGAGGGAGGGAGTGGAGTGGTGAGGGAGGGAGTGGAGAGGGAGGGAGTGGTGAGGGAGGGGAGTGGTGAGGGAGGGAGTGGAGTGGTGAGGGAGGGGAGTGGTGAGGGAGGGAGTGGTGAGGGAGGGGAGTGGTGAGGGAGGGAGTGGAGTGGTGAGGAAGTGGAGTGGAGAGGGAGGGAGTGGAGTGGTGAGGGAGGGAGTGGTGAGGGAGTGGAGTGGTGAGGGAGGGAGTGGAGAGGGAGGGAGTGGTGAGGGAGTGGAGTGGTGAGGGAGGGAGTGGAGAGGGAGGGAGTGGTGAGGGAGTGGAGTGGTGAGGGAGGGGAGTGGTGAGGGAGGGAGTGGAGTGGTGAGGAAGTGGAGTGGAGAGGGAGGGAGTGGAGTGGTGAGGGAGGGAGTGGTGAGGGAGTGGAGTGGTGAGGGAGGGAGTGGAGTGGTGAGGGAGGGAGTGGAGAGGGAGGGAGTGGTGAGGGAGGGGAGTGGTGAGGGAGGGAGTGGAGTGGTGAGGGAGGGGAGTGGTGAGGGAGGGAGTGGTGAGGGAGTGGAGTGGTGAGGGAGGGAGTGGAGTGGTGAGGGAGGGAGTGGAGAGGGAGGGAGTGGTGAGGGAGGGGAGTGGTGAGGGAGGGTGTGGAGTGGTGAGGGAGGGAGTGGAGTGGTGAGGGAGGGAGTGGAGTGGTGAGGGAGGGAGTGGAGAGGGTGTGGAGTGGTGAGGGAGGGAGTGGTGAGGGAGGGAGTGGTGAGGGAGGGAGTGGAGTGGTGAGGGAGGGAGTGGAGTGGTGAGGGAGGGAGTGGAGTGGTGAGGGAGGGAGTGGAGAGGGAGTGGAGTGGTGAGGGAGGGAGTGGTGAGGGAGGGAGTGGTGAGGGAGGGAGTGGAGTGGTGAGGGAGGGAGTGGAGTGGTGAGGTAGGGAGTGGAGTGGTGAGGGAGGGAGTGGAGTGGTGAGGGAGGGAGTGGAGAGGGAGTGGAGTGGTGAGGGAGGGAGTGGTGAGGGAGGGAGTGGTGAGGGAGGGAGTGGTGAGGGAGGGAGTGGAGTGGTGAGGGAGTGGAGTGGTGAGGGAGTGGAGTGGAGTGGTGAGGGAGGGAGTGGTGAGGGAGGGTGTGGTGAGGGAGGGAGTGGTGAGGGAGGGTGTGGAGTGGTGAGGGAGGGAGTGGTGAGGGAGGGTGTGGTGAGGGAGTGGAGTGGTGAGGGAGGGAGTGGTGAGGGAGTGGAGTGGTGAGGGAGGTGGTGAGGAAGTGGAGTGGTGAGGGAGTGGAGTGGTGAGCGAGTGAAGTGGTGAGGAAGTGAAGTCTACTGTAGCTGGTGGTGAGGAAGCGCGGTTGCAGTGAGAGCTGACGGGAGGGAGAAGGGGAGAGGGCGGAGGGAGCGGCACAGCGAACAGGGCGGTGGCCCTGGGGATGTTGGCCACAAGAAGAGGAGGAGGAGAGAGAGGAGAAGAGGAGGAGGAGAGAGAGAGGAGGGAGAGGAGGGAGAGGAGAGAGAGGAGAGAGCCGGGTCCGCACACGGGGAGGGAGACGTCGAGGTGGAGGCAGTGGGAGCCGCTGCCGCCCAGAGATGCGCCCGGGAGCTGAGGGGACGGCGGGGCGGCCATGGTGAGTGGTGGGTGTAGTGAGTGTGGTGAGTGGTGGGTGAGTGGTGAGTGTGTTGAGTGAGGTGAGTGGTGGGTGAGGAGTGTGGTGAGTGATGAGGGAGTGAGGAGCGTGGTGGGTGGTGGGTGAGAGGGAGGCGGGCGTCGTCAAATGCGAGGCGAAGTCGTAGCCGCTACGACACAACACACACACACATTGCATACACTACACACACTACACACATACACTACACCACACACACACACTACACCCACACTGCATACACTACACACACTACACATACAACACACACACACTACACACACATTATACACACACCCATTGCATACACTACACACACTACACACATACACTACACCACACACACACACTACACCCACACTGCATACACTACACACACTACACATACAACACACACACACTACACACACACATTACACACACACACCACACACACTACACACACACAGACTACACACACTACACACACACTACATACACACACTGCACACAGGCTGCAGTGCGAGGGGACATGCCCACTCTCAGACACACGCGCGATGTTTACTGCAAGTCGCGCCAGGTACTCGCTTTGAGGCCGAGTCGACCTAGGGGAGGCCCAGGACCAGTTCAAGTAATAATAATAATCGTCGTCGGTGGTGGTGGTGGTGTTGTTGTTAGTGGTGTTGGTGGTGGTGGTGTTGGTGGTGGTGTTGGTGGTGTTGGTGGTGGTGTTATTGGTGGTGTTGGTGGTGGTGTTGGTGTTGTTGGTGTTGTTGGTGGTGGTGTTGGTGGTGGTGTTGGTGGTGTTGGTGGTGTTGGTGGTGGTGGTGGTGGTGGTGTTGGTGGTGTTGGTGGTGGTGGTGTTGGTGGTGGTGGTGTTGGTGTTGTTGGTGTTGGTGGTGTTGGTGTTGGTGGTGTTGGTGTTGGCCGTGAGCGGGAATCGAACTCTGGTCGCCGGGGTTCGTAGCGCAGCGCGCTCACCGTTGCACACGCGGAGACACATACAAAGACAAAGATCCCCCGTACAGCCTTAACAGTAGGGGCAAGAGCTGTAGGGGCAAGAGCTGTTAGCGAGCACTATCTGTGAAGGCCGGAACGGTACACGAGGGGGTGGGTGGCCAGCACCACGCCCGACAACTTTTGTCTCCCCAGTGGCGATGTTTACACACCGCACCGGGTACTCATTTCAGGCTGAGTCGACCTAGGGGAGGCCCAGGACCGGTTCAGATAATCGTCACTATGATGTTGGCCGTGAGCGGGAATCGAACCCGGGTCGCCAGGTTCATAGCGCAGCGAAGCGCTAACCGCTGCACCACCGCTCCCCACAGACACACACACACAGACACACACACAGACACACACACACAGACAACAACAACCGCCATTCGCCACTAAGTGGCTGTGACGTCACCACGACGATTGTGCCAGGCCAAGTGCACCTTGAGGCCACGTGAAGTGTCGAACGCCCGCTGGCAGGAGGTCACGGGGCAGACCCAGGTGCCACGGGTCAACTGACTGAGATGGCCGAGATGACTGGCTGATGCACCACCTGTGCCCCCTACTGTGCCAACTTGCTGTGCTTTAGCCACCCGGCGCTCCGCTCGTTGTTGTGAGCGTCGCTTCTCCGCCCTCCGTTGTTGTTGGAGGGCGACTGCCTCCAACTGCCCAGCAGCAGCAGCGTCCTTCATGAGCCTCCTCCACTGAGGCCGATCTTGACACCACTGGTACCAGTCATCGGCAAGTCCACTCAGCTCCACGTCCTCCTGTACCACATCACTCCATCTCTTCTCTAGCCCATGCCGTGCCCGTTTAGCCCCCTCGATCCGGCCGAACAAAAGCTGCTTAGGCATGCGGTGGCTGGACATGCGGGCTACATGTCCCAGCCAACGCAGCCTTGCCTGCCAGAGGAGCTCACCGATGGGACTTTGCCCAGATCTTTCAAGGATTTGTGAGCTCCTCACACAATCCAGCCTGGTTAAACCCAGGATGGATCGTAGGCAGGCCAGCCTAAATGTTTCTAACCGGCGAAGATGCTCCATTAGGGGGGTCCACGTTTCGCAAGCGTAGAGAAGGGAGGGAATGACTGTGGCCGAGAAGACCTGAAGCTTCGTACGGAGCGACAGTCCAGGTAGCTTCCACACAGCGTTACGCAACTGATGAAAAGATATTGCCGCTCGACTGATTCGGAGTGAGACCTCTGCTGTTAAACTGGAGCTGGTCATAAGCACACTACCCAGGTATGGGAAACTCTCCACTCTCTCCACAACTGCCCCATCACCGATTGGGAGTTGTGGGGGTGGAGTGTCCGATGGTACAAAATACCCAGGCAGGTGCTTAGTTTTGGTGGGGCTGATGGTAAGGCCCCAACTCTTGGTGGCACGCTCCAGGTTCAGCAGCAGCGTTTCCAACTCCTCCTCTGAATGAGCAGCTATTACCAAATCATCGGCATACATAACGTGGTTGACCAATAGGGAGCCATCCCTTGATCGCACTCGGGCATCGATCAGCCTCCCATTGTATCTGTACTAAATGAAAATTCCCCCGGTACAGCTATTGAAGGCTTCACGAACTACGTGGTCAAAATAGATGTTAAATAATGTGGGAGCCAGAGGACATCCCTGTCGCACCCCAAGGTGTACAGGGAATGGGTCCGACTCCCGGCCACGTAGTTTTACCCGGGCCCGCTCACCATCATGAAGGTTCTTAATGATCGTGAGCAGAGGGTCAGGGACTCCGAAAGCACGAAGAATAGCCCAGAGCCCAGGCCTACTGATGGTATCATAGGCCTTGACCAGGTCAATAAAGCAGAGATGTAGGTCTTGTTGGAATTCCCTACACCTCTGCTGTAGCAGACGGATAGAAAATATGGCATCTGTGCAGGACCGCCCTTTCCTGAAACCGCATTGGGGCTCCGCAAGCCTCTCCTCAGCGTGCCTAGCAAGGCGATGTTGAATAATCCCTGCTAGGATCTTTCCCGGCACACTGAGGAGTGAGATGCCCCTGTAGTTGTTACAGTCTGTGCGGTCCCCCTTCTTAAAGAGGGGGGCCACCAGGGCATCCTTCCAATCCTGCGGAACACGTCCAGTGGTCCAGACTGTTGTTATGATGTCATATAGGGCAGTCTGTGCACAAACGCCACCCTCCCTCAGCATTTCGCTTGGGAGATCATCTCTGCCCGGTGCCTTTCCTGGTCTCAGATTCCGGATCGCCTTCAGTACTTCCTCAACAGATGGCACCTCAGCCAGCCACTCACAGGGGGCGACTTCTTCCAATATTTTAGGCACCGCAGCCTCAGCAGGGTTATCCCCACTTTGGGCCATGATGTTTTCCTGGCTGAGGGATTTCCCCTCCCCCAGGACCTCACAGAAATGCTCAGCAAATCTGCAAACCTGTTCCTGAGGGTCGGAGATTGGATCACCGTTTTCCCCTAATGATGGTAATAGGTGAGGCGCTGCAGGTTACTTTTTTGATGGAGTTAAATAGTGATTTGTGATCGCGGGCCACTGAGGCAGACTCCATCTCCTCAGCAACCCGCGACCACCACCCATCCTTGCAGCGCCTTACGGCTCTCCGAACCTCCGAGCGAACACACACACAGACATGCACATACACACACAAAGACACACACACGCATACACACAGACACACACACACAGACACACACACACAGACACACACACAGACACACACATACACACGCACACACGCACACACATACACACTCACATACACACACACAGACACACGCACACAGACACACATACACACTCACATACACACACACATACACACACACATACACACACGCACACACGCAGACACCGACCGACTCGCACGCTCTTGTGCACTCTGTTCCGCAGTGCGCCCGGGGTTGCATTCCCTTGCCGAGCACGACAGCGCCTCGTACACACACATCGCCTCGTACACACACACACCGTACACACACCGCGTACACACACACAGCGCCTCGTACACACACAGCGTACACACAGCGCCTCTCATCCTACAGCACTGACGGTCACTCTCAGCACGCTCAGCACGCTCAGCTTTAATCACAGTGCTGCACTGCGAGGCAGTGCTGCACACAAGTCCACACGTCCTGTGCTGCATCGCGTAGGTACGGCGCTCTGCTGGCGTGCACGCGGCCTTTTAAAACGCACACAGCACCCACACACAGCACACACACAGCACACACACAGCATCCCACACAGCACACACACAGCACACACACAGCACACACACAGCATCCCACACAGCACACACAGCACACACACCCCACACACAGCACACACACACAGCACACACACAGCACACACACACAGCACACACACACAGCACCCCACACACAGCACCCACACACAGCACACACACAGCACACACACACAGCACACACACACAGCACCCCACACACAGCACCCACACACAGCACACACACAGCACACACACACAGCACACACACACAGCACCCCACACACAGCACCCACACACAGCACACACACACAGCACACACACACAGCACACACAGCACGCACACACAGCACCCCACACACAGCACCCACACACAGCACCCCACACACAGCACCCACACACAGCACACACAGCACCCCACACACAGCACCCCACAAAACACACACACAGCACCCCACAAAACACACACACACATCACACACAGCACCCCACACACAGCACACACAGCACCACACACACAGCACCCCACACAGCACACACACACAGCACACACACACAGCACACACACAGCCCTCCACATAACACACATACACAGCATCCCACACAGCACACACACAGCACACACACAGCCTTCCACATAACACACACACAGCATCCCACACAGCACACACACACAGCCCTCCACCTAACACACAGCACACAACATCCACACAGCACCCCAACACACCGTTCACACAGCCCATCCAAACACAGCACACACACAGCCCACTACCTAACACACAGCACACACAGCACACACACAGCACCCCAACACAGCACACACACAGCACACACACAGCCCTCCACCCACACACAGCACACAGTACCCTCAGCACACGCACATTGCGTTGCTCGCTCTTGTCGGGGCCACGGTGAGCGTGGAGTCGTGAAAGTGAACGCGGATCCTAATCTTCGTGCGGGGGAAGGCGCTCGTCTACGCGCGGAATACAAACACAGACGCATACACAGACACATACACAGACACACACACAGACACACACACAGACACACACACAGACACACACACAGACACATACACAGACACATACACAGACACACACACACACAGACACACAGACACACACACACAGACACACACATACACAGACACACACAACGCGGCCGGCTGCCGCACGATTTGGCCCTCCACGTATGAAATACCGAGCCTTTTCTTCCACGGCTCCCGGGGAGCCTTGCGCGTACGAATCGGGCGTGGTGGTGGTGGCATGCCGGTGATATCGTGCATGAACGAGCGGTGCCACGCCCGAACCAGTGGGTGCCACATTAACTTGCGATACCACCACGCCTTCATTGTTGTTACTGCCACGGCTTAACTAGTGATGCCACGGCCTAACTAGTGATGCCACAGATTGATGAGTGATGTCACTTCCTAACTAGTGATTCTACACCCTAACTAGTGATGTCACTTCCTAACTAGTGATTCTACACCCTAACTAGTGATGTGACTTCCTAACTAGTCATTCTACACCCTAACTAGTGATGTGACTTCCTAACTAGTGATTCTACACCCTAACTAGTGATGTCACTTCCTAACTAGTCATTCTACACCCTAACTAGTGATGTGACTTCCTAACTAGTCATTTTACACCCTAACTAATGATGCCACATATTGATGAGTGATGTCTTTTCCTAACTAGTCATTCTACACCCTAACTAGTGATGTCACTTCCTAACTAGTGATTCTATAGCCTAACTAGTGATGCCACGCCTTAACGAGAGGCGCCACTTAGAACGTAGTTCTACACGACTTAAAACGCATTGTCATTGGTTTCTAAGTGAGTGAATGGAAACTACATGGGCCTAAAGGTGGCACCTGTTTAACAATACCACTTTGTGCATATTGTCAATGAGGGTGCAGGATTATATAATACTCTCGTTGCATGATTCACTGCCGATTCAGATTTTTGCATCTTAGGTGGTATCACCAACTTTCATAGTTGGTATGGGCCCCATGGACTCTGATGGATCAATGGAATGCATCTGAGTGTGGGTGCGAGGAATCAATGGAATGCATCTGAGTGTGGGTGCGAGGAATCAATGGGATGCATCTGAGTGTGGGTGCGAGGAATCAATGGAATGCATCTGAGTGTGGGTGCGAGGAATCAATGGGATGCATCTGAGTGTGGGTGCGAGGAATCAATGGAATGCATCTGAGTGTGGGTGCGAGGGATCAATCGGATGCATCTGAGCGTGGGTGCGATGGATCAATGGGATGCATCTGAGTGTGGGTGCGAGGAATCAATGGGATGCATCTGAGTGTGGGTGCGAGGGATCAATGGAATGTATCTGAGTGTGGGTGCGAGTGTGGCATTGTTGGTCGTAGCTCAAGCCTTCGTAGAGCACAGGACCCATACATAACAGCTCGGACCATGTCTATGAACATCGGGCATTTCAGCATTGGTTCAAGCGAGTTGATTGTGCCGATGAGACGAGTTTGCTTGTGCTAAACCAGAGAGAGCTGGTGACGAAGAACTGCACCCCCAGAAGGGGCGAAATCCAACGGAATGCGTAGACATTACTTTTGTAATAGTTTGTGCGGAGGGAGGCATGTGGGGAGGGGGTGTGGGGTGACGCACGGTCTGCGTATTCACTGATGTGATCCAGGGTACCATCATCAGTGACCGGTGAGCGGCCAAAGACTGCACGAGTCTTGTGCCTCGTGTTGATTTTCTCTGCGAGCAGCCTGGCTCCTCCTACCACGGCAATGTGCCTTCTCCACTGCCATTGAGCACGCAGTGCATCACCCCACAATCGTCTTGGTGTGCTCTGTGTGCTGTGTGTGCCACAGGGTGCTGCTGTGCGTGCCACAGGGTGCTGCTGTTCGTGCCGTAGTGTAGCGTAGGCCTCGGCAAGGTAAAGTAAAAGGTAAAAACAACGAGCCTACCTTTACCCTACCTTTTACCTTACCACAATACAAATTACCCGATTACAGGGTAATTACTGGGGTACTACTACACATGAACAAGGTTTATAACGGTAAATGCTATAAGGTAGAGCGCTTTATTCATATAGAATACTCTCGATGATTCCAATTTTACACGCTTTCTTTTAACTCTGTTGTTGTCGTTATTGTTGTTGTATCCTCAAATATTGTAACTCAATTTTAACCCACTTCCTAATGTGGCATCGACTGCAAACTTGGTATACTTATGTCATACTGATGACAATACTATATTACTGTATATCATTAAAAAAATATATATTTTTTTACATTCTTTTGTATACGTTATGTTTTGGTTTGGGTCTAATTGTCCACGCTCAACGCACGTTGGCTGTAAATCACCACGGCCCCTTACGTTATGGCAAGCCTCGGGGCCACTTAATAAAAGTGTGTTTTTAATAAAGTTGTTTTAAATATTACTTATTAAATGGAGGTCACGGACTGCGCCACAGAGCTTTTAGCGGTAAACAAGGCACCGTATTTACCGGGTAATACTTCGCGCTACCTTTACCCTACCGGGTAATTCTTCCGAGCTACCTTTACCCTACCCTTTACCTTACCCCTTGGCATGTCGACACCTTTACTCGTTACCTTTTACCCGGTAAAAAAAGTAAATTACCTTGCCTTGCCGAGGCCTAGTGTAGCGGTCAGTGCGCCGCGATACGAACCTGGTGACCCGGGTTTGATTCTCGCTCACGGCAAACACCGGTGACGATTATCTGAACCGGTCCTGGGCCTCCCCTAGGTCGACTCAGCCTCAAATGAGTACCTGGTGCGATGTTTGAAAATCGCCGCTAGGGAGACGAAGGCGGCCGGGCGTGGTGCTGGCCACCCACCCCCTCGTGTGCCGTGCCGGCCTTTATCAGTCCCTCCAGAAAAACGCGATTATGCGATCGCAAGATTCCACGCAAAATCAGCCAAAGTCCGCATATTTATGCGGGGGGCGCGTTTTTTCAAATACGCCGCACTTTCGCCGCATAAATTGCAGATTTCCGCGCGCAAAATATGCGGGCTTGCATGATTTCATAATCCCCGCATTTTCGTTGCAAAAAGTCACATATATCTTAGCAGAAAGTTGAAAAATGTTGCGTTTACTTCACACAAGCGCAGCCATTTCCCCTGTTGCCATGGGAACGTTATGAAGTGTTAGAGGCTACGTAGTTAGTTTTATTCAGGAGTTTATGCAACTTTACAGTTGTAAGATTGCACTTTTTTGTTAGTAGTATGTAAATTTACATTACTGTAAGACTGTACTGTTACTGTATTGCTTACGTTACTGTGCACTGAAAACACTTATTTTAACAGATGTCTGTTTTGTATAGCTACCTCTGTAAAACAGGAAGCACACATTTTATTTTTTAATATTTTATTTATTTTTACAGAAGTTGTAGCATATTCATTTTGTAAAGCTACAGAACTTGTTCGACTCAATGTTTTGTAAGTTTGAGCCATCTGTTTGTTAAGGTCTGAAATAAAACAAGATGAGAACTTAAATATTCCCAGCACTTTCTGTGATGTAGTATGCTTGCTTATCATAGGAAGTAATAAGAAATGACTCTTTACATTAAAGTAGTAGCCTAGTGAATAGGGTGTTGGGGGAATCACTTTTTTTTCTCTTTTTCATCAAACCGCAGTTTTTGCAAGTTTCCGCAATTTAATCGCATAAAATTGCATAAATATCCCGCATATTCCATCGCATTTTTTAAGAAAACGTGCCGCATAATCAACGATTTTTGCCCGCAACAATCACCAAAAAACTCCGCGTTTTTCTGGAGGGACTGCTTTATAGGTGCTCGCTAACAGCACTTGCCCCTACAGTCTGTTAAGGCTATACGGGGGATCTTTGTCTTTGTGCGTGCTGTAGTGTAGCGGTCAGTGTGCCGCGCTATGAACCCGGCGAGTTCGATTCCCGCTCGCGAGCAACACCGGTGACGATTATCTGAATTTGTCCTGGTCCTTCCCTAGGTTGACTCGGCCTCAAATAAATACTTGGTGCGGTGTGTAAAAAACATCGCCACTGGGGAGACAAAGGCGGTTGGGCATGGTGCTGGTCATCAACTCCCTCGAGTGCTGTGCCGGCCTTAATAGATGCTCGCTAACAGTACTTGCCCCAATAGTCTGTTAAGGCTATACGGGGGACTTTTGTCTTTGTGTGTGCTGCAGTGATCTGCGTGTGCTGCACTGTTTTGTGTGTGCTGTGGTATAATAATCTGCAGTGTTGCCATGCATTGCACTGTTCTGTGTGTGTTGTATGTGCTAAATGTGTTGTATGCTGTTCGAATCAATAAGGTCCCCTTCTTAACAAGAATAATCCTTCTATTAGGGGCCTCCGGCACATTTCTACTTTTCCAACTGTGGTCCTTTGCAAGATGAATAAAAATATAACGGCCAAAGCCGCTGATGCCACCACACCTAGCCAATGCTTTTACCCTCTGGCAGATTCCGCAGCTGCGGTACAGTCGACATACGGTAGCCTAAGCCATCCCTCTTGGTCGTCGGACCCGTGGAGACTAATCCAGTGTCTGTCTCTTTCAATCATTCCTCCCCCATCCTGCACATGCGTCCCACCCAGCGTAGACGTTCTTGCCAAATCACATCTGCAACACTCGCCTGCGATGTTTCTCTTTCTGACTTCTGCATGGCTTATTTGGCCGTGCCACAAAATTCCCAGCATTCGTCTCGGACACCCGAGCTCAAATTCCAGCAACATGTTCAAGCTTCTTAGGGTCCAGCTCTCTGACCCACAGAATAAATGCTGACAACAATCCCGACGTCAAGTACCTGCGTTCAATTTCGATTTAAAGCTTTCGTGACTGCAGGGATTCATCTTCTTGGTTCTTTCGGTAAAGTCACGTAGAAGGGAAGTAATAAAATAATAAAAATAAAACATAATAAAACAATTCTCACGACGTTTCGGCCACAACGCAAGCAGCCGTCCTCAGGTGAAGAACAGGTCTGTCGGGAAGACAGCGTCTGAATGGACACCACCAGGCTTTTATTTTTATTATTTTATTACTTCCCTTCTACGTGACTTTACCGAAAGAACCAAGAAGATGAATCTCTGCAGTCACGAAAGCTTTAAATCGAAAAGAGTGGTTCAAGTTTATTTTGTTTAAGCAGGCGAGGACTCGGGAGACTAGCGTCTAATTTGCAAGAGGAGACGGACCTGGGTAACCGAAATTCCAAAAACATTTTCATTATTTTATTATTTCCCTTCTACGTGACTTTACCGAAAGAACCAAGAAGTTGAATCACTCTTTTAGACTATTTATAGACACGCTGCGTGGGCTGTACCTGTTCAAACTGTTTTTCAGGATAGTTCAGCTGAGAATATGAGCGCGGCGTCTGCCTCCAGCTGGTGCTTCCCGGAGTCTGATGGTTGCTCTCTGCTCCCTGGCATGCCAAGCAGTGAGCACCGTCCCACACCCCCCATCGCGACACAGCCCGGCAAGGCGCCGGACACAGGATGCCTTCAGGCGAGACTGTCCGGTGATACAGGGCCTGTTGGTGATACAGGACCTGCCAGTGGACAGCTGGCACCCTCCTCCGTATGTGCTGCCTGTTCACTGCCAGCAATGCTGACGCGGCGGCCACAGGACACACAGCACAGGTGAGGCCGCCATGCGTTTGCAGATTCGTAGTGACACGATGTACACCGAGTGCAAAGGACCATTAATTTTGCAGCTTCTCCTCGGCGGGAGAGGTGAGCACCTCGCATTTGAAAGGTTGCAAGTTCAAATCCTGGTTGGGGGTTGATTCGGCTCATTATCCCCCTGTGGACAGTGAAATGGGTACCGTTTTGTGGACAAGTCAACATTGGTTGTCCTGGAGATGGACGTGGCACACCAGAGGAATTCTCACCATCGAGGACTGTAAACAGGAGACGAGCACCGCCTCAATGCTCATTTGAGCAGGAAATCACTTTAATTCTTTAATACCACAAACGCCATTTTTCAACTATTTAGATTCATATGAAAAAATAAACATTTGGTCACTAATTGCTCTTGTATGAGATGGGTTATGAATGGTAAGGGAAAGCACCATCTGACAGATTTCAGCCAATGGAGTAACTTTTTTTTTATTTCACTGAGAAAATATAAGCTTGACAAAATGGTGTTCACACTTTAAAATGTAAAATTGGATTCTCATATGGAAATATTTATGCTGCAGACATCAACAAAATGGTCACAATTGGGTAAAAACTTGGCTTGCACAGGACCGCTGTAACCTAGACTAGCTAGCAAGGCCACTAGAGTGGCCGTCGTACACCTCAGTGGGCCACAAGCGTCAAATCGTGCTTGTGCACTAATCGTGACCCCACGCATTGCCCAAGAGACGTTTAGACCAGGCCACCATGAGGGGCTCCATGGGATGCATGGGGCCTGTAGGCCCCAGGTTGACCACCACTGGTCTAGGTCAAGGGTTCTCAATCTTTCTGGATCCCTGCGGTCACTGCCAACCGTCAACACATTTTTGTGGACCACCACGCACCAATAACAATACACTTGAACCTATTTGCCAAAGTTAAAACTACTCATCGCTGACCAATGCCAGCAATTAGTAGATTCCGTTAAGAGCCAGCTGCTGCGTTGATGAGCCATGAATCCAAACATTTGTGCAATGGCCAGTGAAAGTCATGGTGTCTTGTGAAAAAATTGGAACGACTGCAACAGCTCCTACAACATTTCTGCGGACAACTTCCCAGGGCTGTGCAGAGCGGCCGTGGTACTGCAAGAAGCACAGGCTGGGAAGAACACTGTCTAGACACTTTGTTTTGTGTTGCCTAGGCTGGAGGTGACCATTCTGCACGAGTACCTGGGCCCCAGAGCGTACCAAGTCGACGCGTGGTGCACAGCCAAAGACATCAAAGAGCTCATCTTCAAAGACACTGGTTATCCGACTGCTGAGCAAAGACTCTTTTTTGAGACGAAAGAGGTAAAATGACCACGGTTTATGTAAATAATTATCTGGATTAAAAATAACCAGAGCCATGGAAAGCTCGTGTAAGGAAAACACACACTGCCTTTTTTATGGGCACATAAACACACCAAGCAGCTTGCAAAAATACATTCTTGTGCTTTTATGGTGTCTGTCAAACATACAGAATTACATGTTTCATCTATTAAAAATGGTCAAGCATTTTCACGCCAGTAGTTGTGACCGGCATGTCAGCACAGGCCGGTGTGGTTATGATGAACGTGACAGCATGGGTCCTCTGCTGGTGCTGAGCAGCCTGATTGGCATTTGTGGGTTTGGAAAAGTACATTGCTACATCAGCATTTACTGAACAGTATAACTGATATTGCAGATTGAAGTATGTCAGAATAAATAAACCGACAGTACGACTCCTACATATATCCGTTCCTCCATTCTTAAAACAATTTAAGTATTCATTAACACATACCATCATCTCCACGGCCTTATGGAAGTGCATAAATTCAGCAGCATTGATTCAGCACAAGAAAAAATCTGGACGTTCACTGTCTCTCATCAGCAGGGTAAGGCTTGCTTGAACCTTGCCTTGTGAACTGCCAAATGTTTATAGGTATGGACCCTCTCTGTTAGAAATGGATCGTAGTTTGATGCAAAACTCAATGATACACAATACAACATTTTCAATCGCGACATTGTGGACAATTTTGATTTAAAGCTTTCATGACTGCAGGGATTCATATTCTTGGTTCTTTCGGTAAAGTCACGTAGAAGGGATTATTTGATTATTTCCCTTCTACGTGACTTTACCGAAAGAACCATAAATATTGTGGACAATGTAAATAACAACAAATTAAAGATAGAATTACGGCGGTCAGTTCTGACATGCCCATGATTATTTATTTGGTTTATATAGATGGTGAAGATGCTTGTAAATGACATCGCACGTGTATTTGCTTTTTCTCTGTTTCACATTTCTCTTGGCTGAAGGTTCCAGATTTCGTCGCAGTTTCTACTGTGGCCAAGGACAGGACGCCCACGTTGACCCTACAGGGCCGCGGCCTTCTTGGCGCAGGTGGAGCTACACACCTGCCTACCTGTGTAACTGCATATCTGTCTGCTCACCTACCCACTTACCCATCTGCCTTCCTTCGTCACGTAATCTCCCAGCTGCCTTGCGTTAACCCGCTCAGCTGCCCAGTCCTCCGTCGTTAACCATCACTTCATCCACCTGGCCACGGCAAACCCTTCTCGCTTCGTCTCGCTTCCTCTCGAGAATATTGCAGAATTCTCCGGCAAAAACATTACTAAGCTGCAGCGTCTCGATTTAAAGCTTTCGTGACTGCAGGGATTCATCTTCTTGGTTCTTTCAATAAAGTCACGTAGAAGGGAAAAAATAAAGTAAAAAAATAAATAAATAAAAAACATTATAAAATAATTCTCACGACGTTTCGGCCACAACGCAAGCAGCCGTCCTCAGGTGAAGAACAGGTCTGTCGGAAAGACAGCGTCTGAATGGGCACTACCACGCTTGGCAGCGTATATTTAAGCTGGGTTATTTCCCTTCTACGTGACTTTACCGAAAGAACCAAGAAGCTGCAGCATGTACAAAATTCTATGGCACGTGTCGTAACGGGTACTGCAAGATCCGACCATGTCTGCCCAGCGCTTGCCGACCTGCATTGGGCCGAACGAATACATTGTAAGGTCGCACTCATTGCATATAAGGTGCTTGCCACAAATGAACCACAATACGTCGCTGATCTCGTCAAGGAGCATAAACCGTCATCACGCGAACTCAGGTCATCCTCGCAGCAGCGGCTTTTGGCTGGCCATCGAACAAAAACGGTCACTGCATCGCGCGCTTTCAGATGCGCTTCTGCGGCTGTCTGGAACCCTCTTGCTTCCGATATTAGAAAGCCACTGGAGCTATGCACTTTTAAATCTAGAATGAGAACTAATTTCTTTAGAAGTGCTTTTTGTGTTCAGTTTGTCCTTCCCCTGCACCTCCGATTAGCACGGTTGGCTACATCCGGTGCGACAGAAGTTCTAGATACATACTTCTCCTTTTTCACCCATCCCTGTCATGTATTTAGGTGTAAGCAGGACAGGTGGCTCAGCGCTAGAGCGAGCAACTCACAATTGGATGGTTGCATATTCTTGGCTCTTTCGGTAAAATTACGTAGATAGAAACTATTTTTTTTTATGTAATAAAAATATTTGTTAAAAAATAAATTGGAAATAAATCGTGATTTGAAGCTTGAAAATAATAAAAGCAAAAAATCCACTATGTTTCAATCGCAACAAAGCGGTCTTCATCAGGCGGGGGCTAACTCACCATCTCTCTAGGTTCAATAAATGGGTACCAAATTTTTATTTAAAGCTTTCGTGACTACAGGGATTCATATTCTTGGTTTTTTCGGTAAAGTCACGTAGAAGGGGGAAATAAATAAATATATAACTATTACAATTCTCACGACGTTTCGACTGATGATTGCTTGTGTTGCAGTCGAAACGTCGTGAGAATTTTTATAGTTTTATATATTTATATATATTATTTTATTATTTCCCTTCTACGTTAGTTTACCGAAAGAACCATTAAATGGGTACCACTTTGTGGAGAAGTTGGAACGTGGTATTTCCCCCACTGGCTCAGGGCTGTAAGTGGGAGATGAGCATCGCCTTGATGCTTTTTTGAGCAGAAAATCCCTCTGACGTCATGTTTATGTGTGGCGCTGCATGCGCGTACTGTACATAATGGATTTTTTACTCATGTTCGTGTCTCATTGAAACAAAAGGGAGGTTTGGGCAGTCAACCCCTCCTCTGGTGGACTTCCTCAAGGACATTCTGCGCAGATACCCAGATGGTGGCCAGATCCTAAAGGTAGATTTTTTTTAATGAAAAACAGTCAAAATGTATTTGACAGATTTAATTTTCATTTTGAAATCATTATGTTAATGATATTGTATTCAAAAGCTCTTTGAAACGTATTTTTAACTGTGTTAGTTACCATGTTAATGTGTGATTGTAAAACGTCTCGAATTTTAATCAGGAACTGATTCAGAATTCCGAAGATGCCGGAGCAACGGAGGTGAGGTTTCTGTTCGATGAGAAATCCTTCGGAACCGACTCTCTTCACTCGAGTGAATTTGCAGCGTTTCAAGGTACACGCCCTACTCTACGTGCTCCACGCAGAGCAGCAAACACTTGCTCGCAATTATTCGTCAGATCGATCCGCATGCACACACTTAATCATCATCAGCCATGATTGATCCACGGCTGGATGAAGGCCTCTCCTAGCTGCCACCAGGTCTCACCATCCTGCAACACAACAATTCGTCCAGCACCTCCACATGACCTGGTCTCATTGCTCCGTCTGCTAGGTGTGCGTCCTTTAGTACCCGCTCAATTCCTTGGCTGCCACTTGGCTATTATTCTTAACTCTGTATCCTGTCCTCCGATTAGCACGGATGGCTATGTACGCTGCGAAAAAAGTTCAACATGCATACATACAAGCCCATGTACTTTACTTAATGGTTTCGGTGAGGTCATTAACCTCCGTAAGTTCTCTAACCCCCGTGTTCCTCTCTCTTTTTCTGCGTAAATCAAAGCGCTCGTCTCTGGAGGCTTTTTTGCTCACTCTTTGTTTGTCATTTATTTTCCGTTTACAACCACGTTCTTAAACCACGTGTCACTGCCGGAAGTATTGCGCGCAGATTGAAAACACCTCGTTACGTTACTTTTAATTATCAAGTTCAGTGTTAAGCTTTACATACACGCAGTATGCCTTAAATAGTGCAAAATATGTTTTTTTTATACTTTTACCTGCATTATCATTGCGTTCATGTTACAATTCTATATGTTGTGAAGAACCATTCTTTGCCAATGTTGTGTTTATCACTACAGGGCCTGCCTTGTACGTGTTCAATGATGCCGTGTTCACGGACGACGACTGGAGGGGTATCCAGGAAACTGCACGAAGCAGGAAGAAAGATGATCCCCTCAAAGTTGGGCGATTTGGAATTGGCTTCAACTCCGTCTACCACATCACAGGTGGACTACCGTAGCAGCCCAACACACGCGTCGATAACTATCTGTGTGCCATGTCCTGAAAGATGTGATCGATCATGATCTTCCATTAGGCTCTGTCCATTATATTACTTTAATAACACTTTGGTTGATACTGCTATGAGACCTCCTTTACTTTGGTTGATGTTTGGTTATTGTTCCTTTTTCATCGCACGTAAAAAAGAGGGCAGTTTTTCCTTGTTATAAAACATTTTACTTTTCAAGCCCACGGTGTTAATTACTAATGTCCACCGTTTCTGCTCGACAGATTTCCCCAGCATCTTGAGCGGAGCCCAGCTCGGAATGCTGGACCCACACGAACGCCTCTTTGGGCCCCACGAATCTGGAATGAGTTGGCATCTCAAATCCGACCAAAAAGAGATCGCAAAATTTCCAGACCACGTTAGCCCCTATTGTGACATTTTCGGTTGTTCCCTCGCCACGTTTAATGCCGGATATTTCAAAGGCACCATCTTTCGCTTCCCACTCCGGACGGCTCCCTCTCTTTTAAGCAGTACCATCTACACTAAGGAGAAGGTTTTGGAATTATTCAACTCCTTTCAAGCAGACGCAGACACAGTTTTGCTCTTTTTAAAGAATGTCCAAATGATATCTGTACACTTGCGGACAGCGGACGGCAATGAAAAGGCTTTGTTTAAAGTGAAGGCCACAGAGAGCCCAGAAAGCCGACGCTGGCGTCTGCAAGGCTTGAACGCCGCCTTTGGCCAATATTTGCACAAACGACAAACTCGGGCCGTAACGTCACTGTCATACCCCCTCGTCATTGGCGTAGAAGAGAGCACGCCCAGTGGGGTACGGCTTAGCGAAACGTCCTGGCTCGTGGCCAGCAGTATTGCTGGAAGAGGCTTGTCCAAGGAGCTGGACAGCCTCTCCGATGACCTCAAGTACCTCCCGATGGTCGAGATGGCAGTACTGACCGCCGGTGGGAGCGAGAGCGATGAAGGCGCCGTTGCTGCTTTTGTCGGAAGAACGTTTTGCTTTCTCCCTCTGCCTCCTGGAGAAGAGAGCAAGACTGGGCTTCCAGTTCATGTCAATGGCTACTTTGGGTTGACAGATAATCGCAGAAGCATTCGGTGGAGAGAAATTGATCAGTATCGGGATCCTGCGGCTTGGTGGAATGATCTCCTCGTCAAAAATGTGGTACCCAAAGCGTACGCCACTTTGATCTTGGAGGCAATTAAGAAGGCGCAAGAGCAGGGCAAAGCCAAGCCCATAGACCCAGATAAAGTCTACAACGTCTGGCCAGACGTGGAGAAAATGCAAGTTCATTGGAAGCCCATTTTAGAGCCCTTCTTCAGTGAGCTTTTTCAAAAGCCTGTGGTGCTTTCCATGAGCGGAAAGTGGATTAAGATAACGGACGGGGTCTTCTTTGAAAGCGGCCAAAAAGGTGACTCGATGCAAGCTGTTCTCGGCTATTTAAATCGCGCAGGCGTGCCGGTAGTCGTGGCTCCACCGAATATCTGTAGAGTGATTGAGAAGTACAGTCCGGATGCCCCCATCCGTACCGTGAGCGCCGCACTGCTCCGGCACACGCTGCGCACGAGCAGGGTCACGGTGAGCGATGACGACAGGCTGCCGCTGCTCGGCTACGTGCTGTCCGACGGCAACTACAGCGATCTGCACGGCCTGACACTGGTGCCTCTGCAAGATGGTTCTTTCGCGTCGTTTATCCCCAGCCGGAATGAGGAGCTGCCGATCTACATCCCGTCAGAAGAGCATCCCCGGTTAGTTCTCGTATCTAGGCTAATTTCAGTGTATAGAAGCAACATGTCAGCCATTCTCTCAGCTGGATGCGGATGTAAGGGTGGCTTTGTAAAACACTGGGTATGTGGATTATTGTCACCTGAAGCATATAAGGTCTGTTAAGTGCAGAAGTAATGTTAAAGATATTCACTCCGGTATAATCTTCATTTACACCGACCACACCGTGCATGTAAAACCACCGGGTGTCAAAAGTTATAGAGTCCATCAACAGGCAGATTCAAAAACATTTTGAAATGCGTTTTATGATTTGGTGGCCACTGATAAGGCTCCCAAGAAAGTCTGTCCTAATAGCACCCATGAGGTGTTCTGCCCTTTTGAAGGCCTTTGTGAAATGAGAGTCGTTAGCAATATTATGGAGGTTTTCGAGCGTGTTTGAATGTCGGCGTTTCCAGAAAATGTAACAATATTGGGTCAGTATTTGTATTGGCTCTCGGAGCACGGCCCCTATTTTTGCAATCTTTTGGACTATTGAGACCTCTTGGATGGATAATGAATGTGTTAATGAACCAATATCACAATCATACCTCAGTTCCTCAAGTATGTTGTTCATTTAATCGGTTATCTCCACTTTGATTGTAAAAACATTAATCATCGTCATTATCAGCCACGATCGATCCACTGCTTGATAAAGGTCTTCCCAAACCACTGCCACATCTCACGAACCTGAGATGTAGCAATCTATCCAGCACATGAACTGATCTCGCTCCATCTCCTTGGTGGACTTGCTCTTGAACGTGTTCCATTCCCTGCCTGCCACTCCGTTATTATTCTTGACCATTGACCATCGTCCCTGCCCAAGCCCGTGTACTTTTCTTAATAGTTTGGATGATGTGCATGTGTTCTAATGAAAAAACATTTCGACAGAAATATAAAACGTTTACTATTTTCATAATGTGGCATTAGGATTTGTAATATACATTATATATTTAAAAAATGGTCATTCAATAAACGTTTTTCTTTTTTTTACATGACAGGAAACTGTTCTATGGAATGGACGCCAGATTTATATCGGACAATCTCAGCGAGTTGACAAGACAAGCCCTCATTAAGCTGGCTGAGAGCTCGAAGCAAGGTAAGGATAATTTACCAAATCCTCATGAGTCTGTTGCCTCGGATAAAGTGTAATGCTATTTACACTATGAGATCACCTTTACCAGTGGCAAAATATAGTAATATGTTTTTTACCCTTTCAACTGGTACAAAATTGACACCTTTATACAAGGGATCATGTTTGCAATAATCACAACACAAGCAGTCAAAATGCAACAAAAAGAAACAACTCTGATAATGATAAAGATATGCACTGTCCTTGAAGTTGTACGCCTTTTGGCATCATCTGGTCCAACACCAATGGAGACTAGGCTCTAAGAAAAGCTGTCTCGGGTGTGGACCAATCAACTTCAAGGACAGTGCATATCATTATCAGAGTTGTTTATTTTTGTTTGCATTTTGACTTCTTGTGTTGTGGTTATTGCAAACATGATCCCTTGTATAAAGGTGTCAGTTTTGTACCAGTTGAAAGGGTAAAACAACCTATTACTGTAATGCTATTGTTTGTTTAGCTTCAACGTGGGCAACGTAACACGTGAGTTTATTATTTATAAATGTGGCCACGTTCTGTACTTCAGTGCATGCACGTATAACTAAAAAAGGGGGGGCGGGGAGCCAATTTCTGAGACGGACGATGGAATGGTCTCCACGAGTCCAGATCTTGGAGGTGGCCGCGTGTTGGCTGTCCAGCAGCTACGGAACCTGCTGGAGGTCGTAAGCGTTTGGAGCGAAGGTGCAGTGGCATCGCCAGCTTTTGCCATGTTGATGTCTCCATCACGATATTTTATAATGCGGCCGTATCACCGCTGTGAGAGTGGTATTTTAAAGTGACAGCATTGTTAAGTAATTTATGAACATTGGAAAAGTATATTGCTGTTCTAGATTTGAAGTTTTCGTGACTGCAAGGATCCAATCTTTGGTTCTTTTGGTAAAGTCACGTAGGTGAAAATAAAAATTAGAACAAGAATAACTAAATTAAATCACTTTTAGTTATTTTTATTCTTATTTTTTACATATTTTTTTTCACCTACGTGACTTTACCGAAAGAACCAAAGAGTATATTGCTCTTGTATAATAATGCGTTCAGACACGTCTTGACAAAAGTATGAGCAAATGTGTGTTTCAAGACAAGAATACGACAGGTTTCCGATGGTGCTTGCCATTTTGCAGGAGAGTTGGTGTCACGGCTCCGGACAATGACATCGGACAATGCGGTGACGCTCCTGACGGACATCATGGGGAGAATGTTTCCTGGTAAAGATCTCTCGGTGACGTGGTGTCCCGGAGATAGCACCAAGAAGCACCCACCACACGTTTGGCTGACTGACGTGTGGCGGTACCTTTACCATAAATTTGCCCTCGACTTGAACGCATTTGAAAATCTGCCTTTAATCCCACGTAAACCCATTCGCGCTGAGGATAGTTCCGTCACTCTGTTCCGCCTGGTCAAAAACTCGGTGCTCGTGCTGAGAGAGGAGAAAGAGGTGCGTCTGCCTGAGCTCGTCGCAGAAACCGTGGAGCAGGTGGGTGGGGTGGTCATAGCCGAGTTGGATCCGTGTCTCCATCACCCGCTGCTCAAGGACTACCTCCTGTCCCCTTTGCCAGCCATGATCCTCCACGTGTTCGCTAGAGTGGGCGTGGAACAAGCGTGCCGCGTCCTGGAAACTACGACGCCTGACAGAAAGATCGCTTTGCGACAGTTTTTGGCCGGATTAATGCACGTCACGGAGCAGGAGCATCACGTGCTTGTTCGGTTGCCGATATTTAAGAAGCTGAGCCTCGCGGAGGCAAACGACAGTGAGTGCTTTACAAAATTGGATGGCGCAAAGGTGCTGCATCACTCGGCCCGGCTGCCGGGCAACGTACCACTCTCGCAGTCGCTCGTGGATTGCTGCGACGAAGCCACGATGCGCATAACCAGCATGGTCCACGTGCCGCAGCTCACAACCACCCAGTGTCTTGGCTTCATGTTTCAGGACATTGAGAGTGGATTTTATGGATTGCCTCAGGCTACAGACATTATGATTTGGGTTCTTAGCAGTCTCGCGTATCTAAGAGCAGAAAAGCCCGCTGTTATCAGCGAGATAGCCAGCCTTCACTTTCTCAGCGGGCCGAGCGGCGTTCTGCTACGTCCCTGTGATCTGTTTGATCCCGAGCAAGAAAGCCTTAAGATGCTACTGGTTGGGCAGGAGGAGTTGTTTCCCTCCACACACTTCTCGTCGCCAGATATCCTCCATGCACTGAGGCAAGTGGGATTGAAGGGAGAGGAACATTTGAGCGAAGGAGACCTCATTCAGGTGGCTAGAAAGGTCGAAGAGCTGTGGGGAAAGGGCAGCTTAGACTATGCTACCTTACTTAAAAAGACACAAAACCTGATGCACATATTAAAAAAACGTAACCTAAAGAATATAATGAATTCAGATGAAGCTGAAAAGGCATTAAAAATGCTTAAGTGGATTCCAGCTTTGCGATCGAGACCAAATAATTACCCAGCTTCCCTGTGCTGGAAGGGGGAGGCCGAGTGTTTCTACTCGCCCAACGATGTCTGTGTCTCGCACCACGCCAGCGTGGTGGGGTCGTCGCTGCCCGTTGTGGAAGTCGAGTGCGAGCGTGTGGGAGAGTTCCTCGGATTTTACCGCGAGCCCTCCGTAAATCACGTCACCGAGCACTTAAAAACGGTCGTCGATTGGTACTCGTCGACATCGTTTTCAGAAGGAGAAGGGTATCTGTTTCAGCACATGTTGCTTGAAGTTTACAAGTACATGCAAAAGCACCTGCAGACGGACGGAGATGTATTCCTGCGGCTTGACTTCCCCTGGGTTTGGACGAACACGTGTTTCTGCATCCCAACGGAGGTGAGCCTCTCCCGCGCACAGGAGCTGGACTTGAAGCCGTATTGCTACACACTTCCAAAGTCCCTCGGTAACTTCAAAGATCTGTTTACATTTTGTGGTTGCCTATTGGAAATCACGCCTGTTCAGATCGTGGATGTTTTAAAGAAAATTAAAGAAAACAGTGAAAAACCGAATGTGACCGACATTGCCAAAACTGACCTTCAGCTTGCCCTGAATATTATTCGATGGCTTCACCAAAACCATATACATGTAAGTGAAGACATTCCAATACCAATACAGCAAACTTGCAATGATGCACTTGAAACACTTTGCATGAAAGAGATTCATGGCTGCACCTACTGTGACATCAAAGTGGAAGATTTGCAGGAACTGTTGGACGACAGCAATGAACCAATTTATCTGGCTCACGAAGACATCTCAATGAAAACTGCAGAGTGGCTGAACATCCCTTGCCTCAGTACACGCCTCATTGACCCAGAAAATTTGGGCTTTGAACAGTCTGGACAGCAGGAGCCGCTCACCGTGAGGATTCAGAACATTCTGCAGGAGTACCCTACGGTGTCGGACACATTCAAGGAGCTCACACAGAATGCGGATGATGCAGGAGCAACAGAATGCAGTTTCTTGGTTGATTTACGAAAGAATTTGGACATAAAAGACAACCTGCTGGACTCGGGAATGGCTGTTTGTCATGGTCCAGCTCTATGGGCATTTAACAATGCTATCTTCACAGATGAAGATTTTACAAACATCACGAAGTTAGGCCACTCCCTAAAAAATGAGCAAATTGAAAAGGTAGGGAAATTTGGACTTGGGTTTAACTCGGTTTACCACATCACTGATATACCGATATTTATGAGCAGACAATACATGGTCATGTTCGATCCCAACATCACTCATCTTGGGAAGCACATCCGAGACAAGTCCAATCCCGGTATCAAGGTGAACTGGGTAAAGCAACACAAAAGACTGCAGAAATTCCCAAACCAGTTCAAGCCATTTGTGAACGTGTTTAATTGTGAGCTTCCTTTGCTCAGAAGTGCTCCGTATGAATACCAGGGCACGCTGTTCAGATTATCTTTCCGAACAGAGCAGGAGGCAGCCACAAGCCAGATTAGCAACACCTACTACAGTCTGACGGATGCCCTCTCATTCATTGACGAATTTAGGAACAGCAGCTACAGGCTGATTATTTTCACACAAAATGTAACAACGATGCGATTGAAATTCATCAAAGGCGAGTCAGAGGATCCCAAGCAAGCCAGAGATGTGGTTCTCTTGAACAAAAAGGTATGCGCCTCAAAAGTAGGCTCCTGTACACATAACATCCTGTTAGAGTCTGCAAAAGTAATGAAGGTGATTCTGTCAGGCAAGCAGCAGGCATTTCCCTTGCCCAAGTGCTCGAGTATTATCAGCATCAATATCGAGGAGTCTGAAATGCCAGACGGACAGATCGCAGATGTTCAACACAGAGTTGCAGCCAATGAAAATGCATCTTATTTTGAAATAACATCGCAAACAGGGGAAAGAGCAAACGGTGTTGTTGCCGCGCAGACATCCGTGAAGAGATCGCATTGGCTCCTTCACTCGTGTTTTGTTGATGGCGAAGCTCTTGATTTTTGTCTAAAGGAAGAAGGAAAGAAACTGGGCTTGCTGCCCTGTGGTGGCATTGCCGTTCCTTTAGAAGCAACAGTTGATGGCTGCTGGAAAATCCAGCAGAACGCATCTCCTCTGGGTGAGGTTTTTTGTTACCTTCCAATCAAAATTAAAACGGGACTGCCGGTGCATGTGAATGGCTGCTTTGCAGTGTCTTCAAACCGCAAAGAAATATGGAAACTAGACTTGAAAGGTCAATGGAATACGCTGTTCATGAGAAGTGTCATTGTGATGGCGTACATAAACACGCTGAATATTTTACGCCGAATGTCCATAGAAGGAGAGTTGATTGATTACATCTATCATGCCATCTGGCCGGACCCTGGCACCGTCCACAATGACTTCTCAGCCATTTGCAGTGGCTTTTACAAAGCTTTGGTCTGTGGAAAACTGAGCTCGTCAGAGGTGTTTTTTGATGGCAACAGTTGGTTCCCCTTGTGTAATGCAAGGTTTCTGGACAACCGACTCCTTCAAAAACAAGTTGTAGGCCAAGCAGCCTTCAAAGTATTTGCCAAGTACTTGCAAAATTCCCAAACTGAGCCTGTGCATGCAGTAATGTTGCCATCCTGGGTGGAAGCAGCATTTGAAAAAGCCGATTGCCTGCAAGCCATTGCGATGAGAACATTCACGGAAAATAAGTTCTTTAAAGAAATCTTCATTCCAAATATAAAGGAAATCCATCAGGATTTGCGCGACCCGCTTGTGCTGCACGTGTTGGATGAGCTCCTCGACACGTTCAAGGAAGTCTTGAGCAAGATTCCTTGCATCCCTTGCACTGCAAAAGATCTGTGTCTTGCCATCCCATCCCAGCTCGTACACCCGCAGGGTAAGGCATCTCGGTTGTTTGATGAGGAAGACGGTAGGTTCCCCAGTGGTACCACTGCAGACTATTTAGAACCCACGAGACTCCTGAAGCTCGAGTCCTTGGGAATGGTCAAGGACCATGTTTCTTGGCCAGATCTGATGGAGAGAGCCCAGTCTGTGCAGGGTCTGACTGCACAATGTCCTGTCAAGGCCCGTCAGAGGGCAAGCATCCTGCTGACTTTAATGGGCGAGGCATTGCAAAGAGGTGATGGGGTTGACTGTGAAACGATACAAAAACTTAGAGAGACGGCATTTATTCCATGCCTCGTGAAGCCAGATGTTGTTGGATTGTCATGGAAAGGCAGTGAGTTTTCACCCAATACCCTGTTCAGTCCAAACCAACTCTTCTCAATAGAACAGCAGAACTTGGTGTGTCTGCTTCATCCAATAGTAGATGAAAGCATTGAGAAGGGATGCGGTTCAATCTCTGCGGCTGTTAAGGAGCTTCTTGGGCTTCAAAAGAAGCCATCTGTTCAAACCGTCATTGCTCAATTAAAAGCAGCTACCAAGATACAAGTCAATATTACTTCTGATCATGAAGATATTTGTTACTCGTGTTACAGATTCCTGAATGAAAGTTTGGCTGCTCAAGAAAATACAAAATCGTTAGTTATTGAAGAGTTGCGTCAACACAACATTACTTTAGTAGATAACTGCTTTGTGTCTCCTTCAAAAGTTGCATTCAACTTGGACTTTTCAGCATGCCCGTACTTATTCCAGCTTCCAACAAAGCTGCGGAAGGAATATAGTGAACTTTTTAAAATCATCGGTGTCAAAGATGAATTTTCGGTGTCTGATTTTACAAGTGTGCTGGATGACCTAAAAAAGAAATATGGTCAAGAGAGTCTGGAGGAAGAAGATTTTCATCTCTGCAGACGGATTGTCACGGAAGGAATCTGGAGCCTTGTGAAAGAGCAAGACCAGAGTGTCTGTGCTCATACCTGCAGTCACATGTTTCTTCCAGACACAAATAGACAGTTGATTCCTGTCGACAACTTGTGCTACAATGATTGCCCCTGGATAACCGTGAAAGACTCTGCAGTGAAATATTGCCACCAGGAAATCCCGAGAGAAATAGCCGTCAGACTCGGGGCCGTGCCGAAGCGTCACAAGGCACTAGAGAAGTATGCCTCCAGTGTTGATTTCTCCAATTTGGGAAGCGAGTTTGGACAAAAAGAAAAACTAACCAGTCGAATCAAGAGCATTTTAAATGCCTACCCCTCTGAAAAGGAGATGCTGAAAGAACTTTTACAAAATGCCGATGACGCAAAAGCGTCCGAGATTCACTTCATTTGGGACCCAAGGGAGCACTCAAAAGATCGGATTTTTGATGAGAAATGGGGCAGCCTGCAGGGAGCCGCTCTATGTGTGTACAACAACCAGCCCTTCACAGAAGACGATATTAAAGGCATCCAGCACATTGGGAAAGGCACAAAGGGAGGAAACCCCAGTAAGACGGGTCAGTATGGAATCGGTTTCAATTCTGTGTATCATATCACCGATTGTCCAATGCTGCTCTCCAACAATGACACGTTGTGCATATTTGATCCCCATGCCAGGTTTGCACCGGGTGCCTCTTCGATTAGCCCAGGGAGAATGTTTAGAAACATTGACGAAGATTTTAAAGCCCAGTTCTCTGATGTTCTCAATCCCTTTTTGGGGGATACTTTTCCGCACGAAAATGCGACGATGTTCCGTTTTCCAATACGCAATTTTGATATGGCCAGGAAATCTGAAATCAACCAAACCCCAACGTCAGACCGTATGGTTCACAATTTGTTGGACAAGATAAGGGCCGATGGGGCTGAGCTTTTGCTGTTTTTAAACCACATCGAAAAAATTTCCATCTGTGAAATTGATAAAGTGACTGGTGCAACGGCAAGCTTATATTCTGTCGAAGTAAAGTTAACCGAAGAGGAACGCAAAAAACGAAAACAATTCTACGCAAGTATCCATGACGCCATCGGCAGGAGGCGGCAGCTGAGCCAGATATCGGTGCAGGTGGTGACGTATTTGATGGACATTGCCGATTCTGACGGAAACGCAACATCGTGGATGATCTGTAACAGAATTGGATTTTCAGATGTTGACAAATTGTCACAAGACCTTCTTGCTGCACACCGGAATGAGGACATCTCCCTACTGCCCCGTGGAGGTGTTGCAGCCTGTATAAGCCACAACTATAAAAAGCCTCACCGGGCCTTCTGCTTTCTCCCACTGTCACTCGAGACTGGCCTCCCAGTGCATGTCAATGGACACTTTGCTCTCGATTCCTCCAGGAGAAACCTGTGGAGGGATGACAATGGCATTGGTGTCCGCAGCTATTGGAACTCTGCCCTGATGACCAAACTCATATCACCGGCGTATGTTGAGCTCCTCCTTCAGTTGCGAGAACACTATTTTAAATCAAATGCCTCTTTCATCACAGTCTTGGCCAACATTTCCCATCACAATCTGCAAGATTTGGTGCAAAAATACTTGTATTTTTTCCCGCTCAGTAAAGTGGCGATACAGCCTGACTGGCATCGCTTGCTGACCTCGGTTTACAGAGCAATACACGTCGACACGAAGCCGCTTTTGCCAGTTGTCAGGGAATGCAAATCCGAGAGTGCACGGCAAGGCACCGAGACGCACACAACTTACACGATTACATGGACGTCCACCTCCAGTCCCATGAAGGATAAGCCTTTTTTTGACAATTTATTGCAAGATGAATTGCAGGCGGCTCGGAATATCGAATACAATTTGACAATCAGGAAAGCCATCGCAGAAAACGTATTTAAATTAAAGGAGCTCCTACTGGAAATAGGATTCAACTTGGTGTTCATGTCGGATGAAAGCAGCTGTGTGTATCACTGCTTCCGAGAAGCAGGCGTTCCGGTTCACTTTGTTACCCCGAAAGATGTACGTGGATTTCTCTTGACGTTTTCAACAAAAGATACCATTTGCCAGATTGGGAAGCTGCCCTGTCAGTTGAGTCAGTCAAAAATAAACAGTTTTCAGAACTTGAAAATCCTTGTGGATTACTGCCTTAAAGACGCAGAGGAAAATGACATCATTCTCGAGGGCCTTCCCCTCTTGGTCACGCTCGATGATGTGTTGCAGGTGTTCGATGGCAGAAAATCGAAATTTCTGTCATCGTATCATGAGCTTGTGCCCTCACGTAAGGATATATTCATGCACACAATGTATTCTAAGTATCAGGACAGGCTCTTAAACAGCGGAGTGGCCAAAACGTTTGACATTGACAGCTTTGCGGAGCTACTCCCTGCGGTGCTGGCGCGTGAATACCGCAGCAGGAGCCCGGTGAAATGGAAAGATACATTCGCGAGCGAAGCGTGGCTTCGGCGATGCTGGCAATTCATTGCGTCTTTGGTGTCAAAAGATGCAGACACAGCAGATGGAAACACGGTGTTCGACAAGGCCATTGCCACGCTCAAAGAGTGGACGTTACTTCCCGCTGTTACGTTTACAATCTCGAGTGTGGGAACTTTGGTACAAAAAGACAATATTTTGGTGCCATTGAATCTGATTCACGCTGTGATATTTCCTCACAGCCACAACGATCGCCTCTTTTCAGCACTCATGAAGGCTGGTTCTCTGCAGCTTATGCTGCCAAAAATTGCATCCCATGATAACCATCTGACACTGATTTTTTCAAAATATACGGCAAACATCGAGAACCCTTCCAGCATATTAAACTTACTTAGTTATATGCTGAAGACCTCTGGCTTCCAAAACAACCTAGAGGAACACGACCATGAAACCCTTCTTATGTACTTCAATAGAAACATAAAGAAAGTCACAAATCCAGATGACCTGCAGGTGTTGCGAATGTTGCCTTGTTATAAGACCATAGATGGCAATTTTGTTAATTTGCACAAATACAGGTCATGCTACGTGCTGACCAAAACAATTCCCTCGGCCGAGATGGATGTATGGACCAAATCGACCGCTGCCATATTCATTCAAGATAATCCCCAGTTACAAGAGTTGTTTACGTACTTGGGATTCACACAGGTTGACGACTTGGACGTCTATGTGAAATACATTCTTCCCAAGTTCGATAGCCTTACTTTTAAAGCAAAGCTGCGGCATGTGATTTACCTGAAAAAACGTATCAAGTCATTGGAAGAAAATAAAGCGTTGCAAGAGAAGATATGTTCCAAACTCGAGGGCCTGGCTTTCATCCCAGACACCGATGGCCGTCTCAGGCCAGCAAAGCACTTCTTTGACAAAAAAACAAAGATATACGATGTCATGCTACCAGAACGGTCATTCATTCCTGATGAGTTCTTCACTACATTGGAAGAATTGGAAAGCCCCACCAACCAACAAGTCTATCAGTTATCATGGCATAAGTTCCTGAAACAAATTGGACTCAAACACGAATTGTCTCAGCAGCAGCTGATATTTTTTTCCCGCGACATTTCAAATCGATCTCAAACAGAGCAGTGGTCGTTTGAGAAACTCAAGAAGACAGTGGACACCTTTTTAGATCACATTTTCACTGAACGTGATGATCTTTTTAACGGGAGTTTCTTAAGAGACTTGTCGATAATCGCTTTCATGTATCCAGAGAGAGCACCGCCTGACTTGCTGAAACTTCACCCGCAGTTCCAGGAAACCAAGGGCACGTTGCCCCTCATTCGCTTTAGCCACTCCCAGGTGAATCCCAAGATGAAGGGGCTGGATTCCATGCAGTTACTGTGGAGTGCCTCGCCCTTGCTCCCCGAGAAGGCTTGCCCCACCTCCATTAGGGAGCAGAAGCAATGCAATGCGGAGAAAGGGCCGAAACAACTGGAAGAGCTTTTCACTACGTTGAATGTAAGCCTATTTCCACCCATTGAAAAAGTAATCGTCCACTGCAAAAACATCTGCTCTGTTGCACCTGTGGATGAATTCACACTCAGGACGAGAGCTGCCGTTTTAAAAAGTATTTACGGATTTTTGAACTCTCAGAAAGTGGATTTTCGCCATCAGCTGAGAGGTGTTCCTCTCGTTTTAGTGGATGAAGGGAGAAAATTAGTAAAACCGGACGAGGTTGTAATAAACCTAGAGAATGAAGCGGACTTTAAGCCATATCTCCACAAACTTCCCTTGGAGCTCGGGGCCTTCCACCATCATTTTAAGTGTCTTGGAACAGAGGATAACGTTTCTGTGCGGCAGTATGTGGATGTTCTGTCGCGTATTTTCGTCAAGTCGAATGGGAAGCACTTGGAACCAAATGAGATGCGCACAGTAAAACGAGTTGTTTCGGGCCTCTTTAAGAATTTGCAGACGGACAGCGTGCGAATACGCACGGAGCTTGAAAACATCCGTGACCTAATGCTCTTCCTGCCCAGCGCGGATGGGAAACTGGTGAAGAGTGGCAGCTTAGTCTTTGACGATGCCCCCCATTATAAGAGCCGCATATTCGGTAGCAACATGGGAGTGCCGTTGCTGGTGGATCTTGGGCAGTGCTACCTCGGGAAAGATCACTCTGTGCACACGAAGATCGTCATGCTGCTCCCACTGAAACTCAGGCCGAGGCTCCTGAGTAGCATTCTGGAAGAGCACTTGGATGAAGATGACCCAAAGCCTTGCCACTATGGCAAGCTGTGCTCGCTGCAGGGACGATTGCAGCTGCTACTCTCCTCGGAGCAGTTCACAGCGGGACTGGTCAGGGTCATGAAACACGAGAGTGAAAATGCCTTCTTAGCAAACGAAGAAAGGGCACTGATGCTGTGCAAGGCCTTAAATGTGAGTCTAAGGGTATCCTGCTTTGAGAAACTGCAGACAACTCTTCGTCTGAAAGAGAACGAGATGATCCCAAAAAGTAAATGTGAAACACTGGCTTTTTTGAAAAAAACTAGCACCTCTTCAATCCATCTTTACGTTCAACATTCTGACTTTAAGGACATCAACTTCCTTCTCGCTTTGGCTATGACCATTAAGTCATCAGCAGACAATCTCATATCCGATACTTCATATTTGATTGCAATGCTTGGATGTATTGATATTTACCGGATAGCTGATAAACTTGATAGCCTCGGTGTTAAATATGATATAACTACTGAGCCATCAAAGATGGAGCTACCTCTTCCAGGAACTCCAATACCCAGAGAAATCCACCACCTTCTGCTTATGGATCCCACGAATGTGTTTTATCCAGGAGAGTATGTTGGCTACCTCGTTGACCCAGAAGGTAAAGAAAGTTCATTCTCATATCAGGCAACATACACGTATGCCGTCATCATTCAAGAGGTGGATGTAAGCCAAGAGGATGATTCTTTACTTACAAAGTCTTATCAGATCGATATTGGGTATAATGAGTATAAAGTTGTCAATTCTTTGGATCTGTACAAATTCCTACGTCATGGAGAAGGCATGCAAGACAGGGAGGAGAGTATGTTCAAAGAGAAATTGGGTAGTCACCGAAGGATGCCGGATGACACAAAACCGGAGGGCACAAAGAGGCATTCGCCCAAAGCGCAAGTACCCGACACAGAAAAGCCCATTTCCATCACTGACGTTTTATCAGACATCACCTTGGTGTTAGAGCAGGCGTGGAAAGGTCCTGAAGCAGAACGTAAAAAGGTTATTCGTAGGCTTTATCTAAAATGGCATCCGGACAAAAATGCAGACCATTTAGAAATCGCGAACGAGGTGTTTAAACACTTGCAGACTGAGATTAGAAGGCTGGAAACTGGAGCAATGGAGTCTAATAAAGATAAGTCTCAGAGACGTCCGTTTGGCTCCGCGCGATTTTATGCAGATAGTTTTTCCTTTGAGAAGTTTTTCAAATCCTGGAATCAGGAAGCAACGAGCCATTCGCAGGAGAAGCAGGGCTACCGCGAGAAGTTCTCTGCTTCTGCCCAGAGTGGGAGTCAGTCTGATCGGGCGTTTGTTCCACCAACGTCCAAGGTGGCAGGGAATCCCGTGGAAGCACTGAGATGGATAAGGCAAGCCAGGGCTAATCTCTCTGCAGCAAGGAACGATTTGCATCGAAATGCAAACGAGTGGCTCTGCTTTAAGTGTTACCAGGCTGTGAAGCTTGCGCTTATTGCTGTCGAGTACTGTGTCAGAGGACATGCGGACAAAGATGTCCACTTGCAACATCTGGCTCAGAAAGCGGAGGAGCAAAGCACATTGTTGTTGGGGCTAGCGAACGATGTGCTCACACTGGAGATGTTCGGCATAGACGGCTTGAAAACACAGTATCCAGATGTCCTTCCGTTTCCTCAAGTACCAAACGATCGATTCCCAACGGATGTTTCCCTCAAAGTGATTGAGATCACCGGCAGGATTATTATCAGGATTGAAAATTTTATTAGACAAAAAATCTAAATGTGTTTTAAATTGTTTCGACTGTGTGCTATATGTTATTTATTTTCCTGAATTCATCTAAAAATGTATCAGAGATTGTTTGTAAATTGTCGCGTAAGTTGCATACCTGCGATTATGAATTTTTAGTGTTGGGGTTTGTATTTTATTTGGCACATATAGTATTATTACCACGTGTTGTGTAATGCATTCCTTGCAAGTGCATTGGGTTTCGCCGCACACAAACTGAATATATATGGTCACTGTATACACGTGTCGTGAATGTCAAGCACAATGATGTTGGGGCATCCATTGTTTCTACACGATTGGGCAAAGCAGGTAAACACATCCATGAATGAGGAGCTGCTGTGCCTTATCAATAGAATCACCTGGATCGTATTTACTAATCAGCTATCACCACTCCCAGTTTACTGAAAGATTACCTGTGCATCCACTCGGATATGTTAAAGTGTAAATTAATTCTGTAAATATGGAATATAAATTTGACATGCATGTATTTTTGTACGTACATGAGAATTCTAGTTTGTTTTGGTTTACAACAATGCCTTGTTAAAAGAAATCAACTTCGACCGTGAACCCTTCCCCCTGGTGACTTTGGCATAGAACTCTCCTTGCCCTGGCGGGAATGGAACATCCCAGCGACAATTTAAAAGGGGAAGGAGAGGGGGGAGTACGAGGAGGGAATGTGTCGCCCGTTCTTGCAGAACCCAGTATGAATAGCCCGAAAAATGGGGGCACGTGGTAACCACTGCTCCCGGGAGAAAACATGACAAAACTTGGACATGGCGTTTGTTGTTTTATTTCTGGTTTTGTTTCGTTACATTATTGCCTCCCCTTTTGTTCAATGCCCCCCCCCCCCCCCCACCTTAAATGCACTGCTCCCGATCCTTACCCTGACCGCGGATGGGCAGCGCCCTCGATCGATCCTAACTTTTGAGGGTGTATTATGTCAAATTTGTTCCACGTTATCTGCTGTTTTTGTCCCCTCTTTTTGAAATCCACGTTGTGTTCTGGGTTTTTTAATGACAAGAACAAATGTATTAACAAAAATCTACGTTGGAACGGATTTCCCTCATAGCAGCAGCAACCTGTGTTAAATGAGGCATCACTTAAAACACATTTTAAATTGTGAGCGTGAATTCAAACCTTCCTATTGTTTTCCTTCCTTGCGGACGGAAACTGGCCTTCGCCGGTGACTAATGTTTTTGTAACGTAATATTTTCGTCTAATTTTATGTAAATCATTTAAATTCTACAAAAAACATTTTCGAACAGTCTGTAGTAAATCAAAGCCAAGTTATTTTTTTATCAGCTTTGCAGTGCAGTAATTGAGGGTCCATGCCAAGTGGGAGCCCTGGGGGTCTGTGCCCCCACTTCTGACCCTGATTTTGGGGTGCAGGGAACCACACCACTCATCTCCCCTACCTTGCCATGTCCTCTTGGTTAGATCCACCGAAGTAGAAAAGCCTTCAATCCATTCGCCTTCTTAGCCTGATTATCGCGGCTACCATGGCTACTGTTCCTGTGAACATTATCATTCGTTTTAAAGCTTTCGTGACTGCAGGGATTCATCTTCTTGGTTCATTCGGTAAAGTCACGTAGACCTGTTCTTCACCTGAGGACGGCTGCTTGCGTTGTGGCCGAAACGTCGTGAGAATTGTATTTTATCATGTTAAAATTTTATTATTTCCCTTCTACGTGACTTTACTGAAAGAACCAAGAAGATTATCATTCGTCTACCCACTCTCCTGCCACGCTGCAGGTCACACTTCTTTCAGTTTCTTCCCTCGCACTGTTCCCACTCTGGAATTCCCTAACACCGTCACCTTTCCCTTGCTCGGTTCAGGAAATGTGTTCACTCTTACCGACAACGTAGATAGCGCTATTCGTGGTTGGCTGCTTAACGTTTTTATCCCTTTGGTGCTGCGCTTGTCAACTGTTTAAAAAAAAAGTATCCCTGGGCGTACATCATTCGCTCGCTGCTCATGCATCACATGCTCTGTAGCATGCTCTGTAGCACGTGATGCATCTGGTTGCTTCCCGCAGTGTGCACTATTAAAAGGAAAATATTATAATTTTTTTTTAGATTTTAGTGAACATAATTTGGAAATGTGTTCGTGTGAAACCAGGTTCCCGTGTCCTGTGCAGATGTAGACAGAGCATTTACGTGATTACATGACTATTTTTCGAATGTTAATGTTCAATGCTTGTATCGTACTAGAAACGTGGATGGAGCGTAACTTGACATGGCGCCTGGTTTCCCATTGAGTTGGCCAAAGGCACTCCCTCTCCATTGTGGCCTTCACACCATCAGCAAAATGCTGACCTGTCTTTATTTTTGGGAAAGTGGTGTTTTTTATATTTATGCAAATATTTTATGCAAACATTAACTACAGGTTGACTCTCGATTTATCCGTGTGGTTTTTCCGATTTGCGTCTTAACCGTGCACATAAATTAGTAACTCGTGAATTTTCACTTCAGCCCAAATTAATCATCTAAAAACAAGTTATGGTTTGTTACTCTTGGAAATGTTTATCACATGTCGCGTGCTTAAACCGAACAAATATGTTGCTCCGGTTAATCCGACTATCCACGTGATCGCCTCTACAGTACAGTAGTTGCATATCTTTCCAACAGTGGGCAGAGTTTGATTGATGTTCATTGGCGTGGCTTCTGCGCAGGAGCAGCAAAGTGTTATCACTGAGCACGCGCATCGATCGGTCAATTGTATACGAGTGGTTTTTGGGCATAGATCCGCATAAAATAGAAATGTTTGGATTATCTGCGATTGTGAATAATCCGTGGTCGTCCTCCCCGTCATTAGCGGGTATAATCAAGAGTCTACTGTATTAAAATTGTAAATAGTGTGTATTAGGCTGAAATGCTGCCAGCTTACTGGGAATTAGCACAGGGGCACCTTGTTTCTAAGTATGTTTGATGAATTTGTAAGAATTGCGTGTCTACTAAATAACATTTAAACTATTTTAGATGTATTCCAATAATAAGCCTTCAGTTGTCTTTTTGTTTTATATTTATAGCAACATCTGAAATGTAACAAAGTTGAGTTTTCCCCCATTCACACGCCGATGTTTTTCGCATTCTGCCATCTCTGTATTCACCGATTTTAACCCTTAAAAGATGCTAGGTTTTTTTCGTTTTAAGATATAAAGTCGGGCAATGTACTTTCTACTGTCATTGTTTCATTAAATTAAACTTGATTTTAATTTTAAAAACAATGTCGTCTTGCCTGCGATGAACTGTTTAGGGTATTATTCGAGGATGATTCTGTTTGACGAACGCGTGTTTTGAAACCAAATCCGGCTCGTGAACGCGTCCGTCTCATCCACATAAAACATCAGCATATTAAACACATCCCAACTCTTACTCTCACAAACATGCAAAACCAGCGGTACCCCCGGACAAACTCGATGTTGGTGGATGAAAATTCTCTATCACGTCGTCACAGTGAGAAGGGTATGAGACGCGTCAGCCGTCTCTCATTTGCCATTGCAGAGCAACAGGTTCTAGGAGTAGTAATTCATTTAAAAGTGGTGCACGGCTACGAGCCCAGCGGTTGGGATCGCAGCTTGTTGGATGAGAGGATATCCGCTTGCACAGCGTCCATATTCACACTGAGCGTGTCCATATTGTGCTGTCACACACCGAGCAAGCGCGCACACACACACATTTGCAGTGTCAAACATTACTTCAGAATATAATTCAAGTTCATTTTGTTTAACCAGGTACGAACTCAAGGGGCCAGGATAGTTACATATCCACGTGACCTGGGTCACACACAAATTACGAACTCCCAATAAAGTGCAGGCATAAAGCAAAGTCAAAGTGATGTCCTGCTCAAATGAGCATTGAGGCTTTACTCAGCTCCTGTTTTACAACTCTGAGCTAGTAGTTGGGGCCGAGTCTATCCATTACACAACCACTGTTGACTTCCTCACAGTGGTATTCGTTTCATCGACCCCAGAAAGAGGTCTGTCAACCACCCCCCCCCCCTAAACAGGATTTGAACTTGAGCAGTCCTCGGTTTACGAATCTAATTCGTTCCTGACACCCGTTCGTAAGTCGAGGACTGCTTGCAAATCCTTCCCATGGTTAGCTGCTCGTTCTCGAGGAGGGGTGGGGAACCTTTTTTTTTTGCCAAGGGCCATTTGGATATTTACAACATGATTCGCGGCCATACAAAATGATCAACTTAAAAATGAGCCTGTTATACTTGGGTCAAACATTTAATTAACTCACCCCTAATGCGATGGCTGGAACTGCTTCTCTTTGGGCGAGGCGTGTGATGTTAGCTGGTATTGATGATGTTGCTGCTACTTGCAACTGCTTTTCCAGGTTTGCTTCTAGATTTATTGAATTTCGAGTCCCGCCTGCGTTTGCCTCGACAGGGCCACACCAAATGATTTCACGGGCCTTGTACAGCCCGCGGGCCGGACGTTCCCCACCCCTGGTCTAGAGGGAGGCTAAGCAGAAGCCAATTTCACTATCGTAGCTTTCACATTAAATCGTATGAGATTAATGTCACAACTTAAAATAAGGAGATGATTAATATTTTAGTGGATAGTGCACCAAAAGTGGGTGGGGGGTGGGGACAAAATAAAACCAAAGAGGACAAGTTATCTGAAATTACACAAATAAATATATTTGGGTTTAGGTAATGCTGACATGAATAGGTGTAATGAATAGCAGTTACATAAATGATTATGTATTATTGCATGTGTTTATCTAAGAAGGCTCTGTATCAAGACTTTCACAAGGGAAGGGCTTTACTATGTGTAATCCCAATTGAGTAATTGCAGGTAATATAACAGCAATAGCATATTTGGTGAATAGCAGTTAGATTGCATAATATAATTTTTTTAGGAAAACCCGCAGGAAACCCATGCAGAACAGGGGAAGAACATACAAACTCCACACAGAGAGGTGCCCAAGTAGAGAATCAAATCCGTGAATGAAATTCACGCCCATATCTTGCTGTGAAGCTTAAATGGGTTGACTCGACGAGAGAACTAGTTTAGTGTGGCAAAGATCCAACTCGCAAGCAGTGTATACTCTTAGTTCTTTCGGTAAAGTCACGTAGGTAAAAAATGAAATTAAAATTAATTTTTAAAAAAAATCACGACGTTTCGGAGGCAACACAAGCTTCCGTCTTCAGGTGAAACAGTCACAGCAAAAAATCTGTATCAGTGAGCTGTGTTGATACCAGAGGGGCACAGCTCACCAGAAAGGATGCGTACAGAGCCTCTCCCATGGATGTTTTGACAGGGTCTTCCATCTCGGGACACACCTGCAACAACATCTGTGCAGCGCAGGGAGGGACAAGACCGTTTACATTTTGGTTTCTACAATATTGTTATTACGACGTATTTTTTGTTACCCATGAAAGCTTCACTCGATCTAAAGACTTTTTCAGGAGGGGTCCTGTCAAGTGGTCAAAGTAGGGGGCGATGATTGCTATGTTGTCCAATTAAATTGTGAGTCATTCTGCAAATTTGCCAAATTTGGACCATGATGCTGACACAATGAAATATACTGTTCTTCAAAATATATCATGGAATCTTTAACGTCCACCAATGCAACGGACGTGACATTATATGGTGAACAGACCCGCGGTATTAACCAGTGTGGCGTTCCTAGTTTCAGACCATGAATCTTTGCAACAAGGGGTGAACTTGCGACAGCGGAGCCATGCCAATATTTTCTCTCAGTCCATTTACGCAGGAATTGTGGGTATTGTGGACTGATGTTAAAACAAATACTTTATGCCTGAGAAATAACACAGACATGTTTGAACCCTGGGATATTTTTTCACCCAGACAGCGTGCTAGTGGTCTCACCTTCAGTGCCTTCATGGCCTGCCACCTGCTGTGGACATAGTGCTGGTTCCCCATGGCCACCAGCAGGTAATGCGCTGCATCCAGGTCAATAAGTTCACTGGCCCACTGCTGAGACGCTGCACACAGGGCACTGTGATGTACACACACCCCACATCACGTGACATCACGTTGATCATTTGAGCAAGGAATCATTTTGACTCTTTTGTCGTTATTGGAACTTCATTTGCCAGTAAAAAAATATGATAATTGGTTTTTTACCCTTCTATCTGGCAACAAAACTGACACCTTTTTTACAAGGAGTCATGTTTTTTGTTTGCATTATGGCTGCAGGTATTGTGGTCTATGCAAACATGACTCCTTGTAAAAAAGGTGTCAGTTTTGTTGCCAGATAGAAGGGTAAAAAAACCAATTATCATCTTTTGTCGTTATTTCTAGAATCCCTGCCTATGAATTCTGAAATGTCTAGTTAGAGTTGTGCATCTCACCTGATTGCCTTGGCTGCCGCCGCTTGTTGAACATAGACTGGCAGCGGCTCAAGGAGTCTCGGAGTGGCTGGGTCTGGGGTGGAGCAGGTTGCAAGGTAGAGAGAACAAGAGGACACGAACATTTAAATTCAAAACACAAATTTAATATATGCAATACACCACGGCATGTAACCACTACAATGCATTACAAAGCATACACACCATGCAATATTGCAGGTGCAGATTGGTCTTGATCAAGAGGGCCAGGCTTTAGCAAAGCCAACAGTCCAGACAGCAGGTTTGAATGCAGAGGGCTCTCCATCAGCTCCGTAATCAGCGCTATAGCTGAGAGAGATGTGGGGGGAAGAGTCATCAGCAAATGGTGTGATTTTGTCATAAGCATAGATTGGAAAATAAATGATTCAATTTGCCATGTTCTCATTATTACTTTGTTATGATTCAGCTTAGTTTAACGCTTAGGCTTTCGCGACCAATATTATTCATAATAAATTGTTTTGGGTTAGATCGCGTGAGTATAAATGTGTCGTAACCCTCCACCACTAATTAGTAAGGGATTTGTCACGGAAACAAAACGCCAATTAGTTACTACTTCAGCCCACCTGTGTGTTGTAGAGTAAATCGACATTTACAATTTTTAGTACGACGTTTCGCTGGTAATTACATCCCGCATCATCAAGCGATTTGCTCGAATTGTTAAGCAATCCGCATGCTACCGGTACTTTAATAGAGTAAGATGACATCATCACTGAACCCATCAGGTGCAGAGATCAGGAGGGGGGGTATTGTTATTATACAATACATTTGTAATCAGTTCATTAGCATCTGTTACCTCTATAAGGAATTTTAGTTGTAAGATATATTGCTTAATAATAGGCTTCCAGGCCGGACTAAGCCTGTAGCTGTCAGAGCGGTTAACATTATTAGTATTTCTCTCAATTTCAATGGATTCTCGAATTAGTCTCGGCCAGTAATAATTAGTTTTACACAATACTTCAACGTTATCAAAATCAATTGAGTGTCCTTGTTGGCAAGCATGTTCTGCAACTGCGGACAGTTGTGTTTGCGAGGATTTCATATTTATTTGGTGTTATTTTAGTCCTAAGCTGTTACGTCCCGTCTGTCCAATATACCATCTGCCACATAAGCAATGAATCCAATACGCACCTTCTGTTGATAACTTAGACAATTCATCTTTAGTACAACATACTAGTTTGTGCATTTGCGTACCGTGCCAAATCTTACTTGATTGTAAATACATCATGGGACCTCCTATGTCAGTACCAAAATATGAGAATAGGTTTTCCCATTTTTATGGTAACAAAACAGGTGATGTCCTACCGATGTATACTTGTGGTCAGAATGCATTCTGACCACAAGTGGTTAATGCAGACATGATTCCTTGTTAAATGTTTCAGTTTGGTGTTTTAACATCTTAACACCTGTTTTGTTGCCAGAAAAAAGGGGAAAACCTATTATCAAATTGTAAATGTTGTCGGTTTACTCTCCAACACACAGGTGGTCTGAAGTAGTAACTAATTGGCGTTTTATTTACGTGACATATCCCTTGCTAACTGGTGGTGAAGGGTTACGACACATTTATACTTATGCGATCTAACCCAAAAACCTTTATTATGAATGATTCAGCTTCTTTAACCAGGAAAGCCTCACTGAGTTTCTAGACCCGTTTTCAGGAGGGTTTCTGCAAAGTGTTTTTAGAAGAGGGTGATGTTGCTATGTGTAATCCCATTTGAGTCATTTTCATGGACGTTGTACCACACCAGTCATATTGTATGTTCTTTAGCTATGGAAGTGTGTAATGACCCGGGTGGGTTGGGGGGCATTGTAATTTTGCGGGAGTTGAGAAGGGTGGGACAGCGGTTGGGTGTGAAGACAGAGGGGTGGGGGGGGATCAGGCAAAACAACAAGGGTGGGACTGGGGAAACCCATATGAAAGGGACCTTCGGTAGGGGAGGGGTGGTCTGGGAGAAGTTGTACGGAGAGAGAGGACGCCGCGGGCCAAGACGTTGGTGGGGAGGCTTTTGGCAGAAGAGCAGGATAATCGATCTGCCGTGCGGCGGGTTCACAGAAGGGCAGGACTTTTACGGGTCGCGCTCGATCTTTATTGTATGGCTTTAGAGCCTGTGTCTTCGATGTTTCACACAGTGCGGTATTTCGTTGCTGATGTCGTCCGTCACACGTGGCCGTCGCCCCATACAGAAGAATAACATACAAGTCCACACACTCACTCTGGCAAACTCACACTCTAAAGAATATAGGAGGTGCATACAAACTCCACACTCTCTGGTATAAATATTCAGATCACTCACACACTCACACTCTGCAGACCAACAGGAGTAAATACAACTACATAAAGGCACCCAAGTTGTAAATCGAATCCAGGCGCTTCTTGTTGTGATACTCAGTGAGGCTGTCCTGGGTAAACAAGTAGAAACAAATAATAATGGCTTCTGCAAATACTTTACAAGACCTGTAACCCCATCACAGGAGTCTAAGCAGATCGAATAATGCCGAGGAAAGAGTACAGATAACATCGATCGCGATGGAGACATACCCTCGTATTGAACGTCCAGGTGTGGTGAGGACAGCACTTGCAGAAGAGGCTTCATCAAGATTGGATGTGCATTCTTCACAAGGGGCTGGCAAGAAACACGTGCATCATCACGTGGGTCATTTGCACGTTCCACCTATCACAGTCTTCGTTTAACAAGGCAGTCAAATGATCGCTCATCTCCCGTTGACAGCCCTGGGTCAGAGGTAACAATAAGTATAACCCGTAAAAACAAAGTTTTTCACTCTAAATCCTTTATGTGCGTGGGGGCTAGAGTCCTCTCGTCCTCTGGCTTGAGATGGCTGCCACCTATGGGTCAGATGATTGCATTGCCAGTATTAAGCAATTGGTAATTAAATATTTAATTTGTTTTCCCTAAACAGTGTAAAAAAATGTAAAAAATTTTTACACTGTTTAGGGAAAACAGTGTAAAATTTTTGAACATTTTTTTCACGAACATTAATTGTCTCGCACAACGAGTCTGTGTGCAAAATGTCAGCTCGATTGGATGACGGGAAGTGGGTTAAAAAACGACCGAAAGATTTGCACGGTCGTAAGCAAGCAAGCACGCAAGCAAGCAAGCAATCGAACGTAATATAAAGGATTTAAAAATTGACGACGATCCTATGGTAGGGTTGTATCTATAGAACCATTGCAGACTTCCACACAAACTAGTACATGACCCATTGTATTGATCCCAGAGAGATGATGTGCCGAGTCAACTGCATACCAAAATTTGAACTCGCAAACCTTTCGTTTGCAAGCTGCTCGCTTCGCTACCTGGCTGTTGTGTATTGCCGCTGCAATAATAATGCTGTGATTGATATCACAAGGATGTGCATTCATTACAAAAAATGCAATGTCTTAGTGGTTTTCATTTTTAGAAACTCATCTTCTGATGAACGATAATTGGATTATTTTTGATTAGGTCACTTAAAAATGTGCGTCATGAACCCTCCTACACCTAACAACAGCCAATTAATAAAAGTGTCACATGAAGCAAACGTACCACGAATGTGCCTGTCGATGTCATGGCATCGACTTAGGAAACTGGATCAGGAAGCGCTTTCACTAGAGAACGGAGAACAATTATTTAAGGGCGCTTAATAAATTAAAATTATTATTAACAAACTGATGCAATCATCCAGCGAAACGTCGATTCCCATGTTTTATTTATTTCGCACGTTCACATGACACTTTTATAAAGTGGCTGCGTCGGTTTGAGGAGAGGTTTACAACAGACATTTTTACACAGCCTTATTCAAAAGAAATCAAATTATGAATCACATTGGTAGTGAAAGCCTACGTATAAAATATTCTACTGATTACATATGAGCATTATTAATTTATTATTCGGGCCCTGGTTCAATTCTCGACTTGGGTGTGTTTCTGTGTGATGTGAGTTTGTATCTAATGCTCCTGCATACCTCCTCCCCTTCCCCCCATTGTGAACAGTTGTCATTACAGTAAAACCTTGGATTGCGAGCATAATTCGTTCCGGAAACGTGTTTGTAATCCAAAGCACTCGTATATCAGTTGTGATCACGTGACGCTCGGCAGACAAAGCGTATACACGTACTACTCGTATTGCAAGACCTCGCTCGTTTATCAAATTAATATTCATTTAAAAAATTTGCTCGTCTTGCAAAACATTCGCAGACCAAGTTACTCGCAATCCAAGGTTTTACTGTATTCACTATGACTGTTCGTGTTGAGCCAGGAAAGCCACGCTGAGTCTCAATCAATTTTTTATGGCGGGTCCTGCCAAGTTCTCACAGTGGGGGTCGATGTTGCTGCGTCTAATCCCAATCGAGTAATTTGCAGGTAAGTTCTCAGCATTGGGATCTTTGGCCAATATCAGTTACGTTGTGTGTGTTTATTGACTGTGGAAGGAAACCAGAGGACATGGAAGAACGCCATGCAGATCAAACCACACACAGAAAGGCACCCCAAGTCGGGAATCGAACCCAGGCGCTTCTTGCTTTAAGGTACAAGTGTTACCACAGCAGTATCCTGCAGCCCAGTTGCATTGTTACCTGTAGAGTGCGCAGGGTTTGTAGGGCGGCGTGCTTTGCGTGTGCAGCTCGGCAGGATAGCAGGGCAATTAGTGCGTATGTCACGTGACATTGGTACTTGGGGTTCCCAAAGGCCAGAGCCTCTAGCAGCAAGCGGGCGGCTTTTCTTGATGCTTCACCTTCCATGCGCGCCAAGCACTCCGCCACAATGCGCACACCTACAGTTATAATCGATGATCATAATTGAGTGCATTTGGTATTTGCGCCATGCTTACGGTGCAAGGTTATCACGATTGCGCTATGTGGCTCTCCGATGAGTGTGTTTTTGGGTTGTGGTGTGCGTTGTCCGACACAATGTTTGACGTTTCGCTCCTAGTGCTGGGAGCCTCTTCAAGCACTGATGTCCGATGTCGTGTTGAACAAAAAACCACTGTGCAACCCAACACACACTTCACGTTGCTATATTTTAGAGGTGGAAAGCAGCAAGTTACATAACACGACGTAATAATTAGTGTCATTGCGGAGAATAAAATCAATATAAATAAACAATTTACCTCCACAGATCTGTCCTTCCATATAAAAAAATATAAGTATTTTTTTACACATTCCATTAGCCACTGGGCCTTCTGGAAGTGCAACATTTCAGCAACATTGATTTAAGACAGCCTGCCTCTCTAGATGACACACTGAAGGTTGAAACCCATCGAGTTTGTACTGTGCTGGACAATGCTGCTGAAATTATGCACTCCCAGATGGCCTCCCAGAAGGCATATTGTCTGCTCATTAAACATATAATCTTGATTCTAGATTCTAAGTTTTCGTGACTGGAAGGATTCATACTCTTTGGTTCATTCGGTAAAGTCACGTAGGTATAAAAATAAAAGTAGATAGAAAAACATAGACATAACTTGAACCGAGAAGATGGATACAAATTAAGCAATCATTGGAAGGATATTATTAACCAGGTAAAATATTAAATACGTTATGGTTGTTCCACCATATTTACCAGGCACTAGTCTATTTTGCCGAGTTAAAAGGTAGAACCTACGTGACTTTACCGAATTAACCAAAGAATATAAAACAAATACATCACAAATAGACCATGAAGCAATCCCCACCGTGGCTTTGGCAGAGCAGCTCCTTGAGCATGCGGCCAGTGGAGGTGCACGTGGCCAGAAGGATCTCCAGCGCGACCGCACACTCTGCCTCGCCTCCCTTGCTGGAGTTTGCAATGATCTCCAACAGCGCCGAGGTGCCCCCACACTCTGCAAACTCCAACACAAGCTGCCGCCTGCAAATCCGCATGCAAACTTGTGTACGGCAGCGTGGCGCGCATTGGTAACACTTGTGCCTCGTACCAGGAAGGGCCAGGGTTCGACTCCCAAATCGGACGCATTTATGCCTGAAGTTTGTTCTCCCCGTGTTCTGCATGGGCTTCCTCCAGCTTGTCCGGTTTCCTCTCATAGATTAAAATAAAGTCCTTTAAAGAAGTGTTTTAAAAACAACGGTTTTATCAACAACTTCGTTTAACTCACAGTCGAGAAGTACGTCAATGGCGCCTGAGACACGCGGCGCCTGCGTTTTGTGCGAGCCGATTCCACATTTTAGGGACCACGGCGTTTTTGACCTACACCAATATATATTTAAATAATAAGGCGTCCATACAAAATGTAAATTGATTTAAAGTAGCGAATTAATTGATTAATTCACGCCGATTTTGATACAGGAATGCATTGTCACTGGATCTGAGTACGTGTGCAAAACGTGGAATTGGTTGTACAACGGGAAGTGGACGAAATTTTGATTACAAGATTTGACCACGACAAACAGAGGAATCAAGTTAAGTAAAAGCGTTGAATGAAACTGTGATTTGGAAAAAAAATATCCGAATGCTGAAAAATGACTGGCAAATTATTCAATTGGGATTACACATAGCAACATCTAACCCCTACTGTGAGAACTTGGCAGGAACCACCATTAAAAAAGTATTTTGAGACTCAGTGAGGCTCCCTGGGTAAACAAGAGCAATAAATATATAACATCAGCCTTGTGACAATGAGTGGACCGAATGTGTTTTCAGACTCAGTGTAAAGATTTAAGGTATTGTGTAAACTCTTATGTGGTATTGTTAGTATTTGCGACAATAGTGTTCACGCGGTGTGTGGTCTCACCCCCCTGAGGCACACAGGAACAAGGACAGCACCCGTAGCTGCAAGAGAAGACACGTTCGTGACAGGTATCTGCGCACAAATAAGGAACACAATATCGTGGCATGTTGCGCAATGCGTCGCAAACTACATTAGAATTCTGGCACATTGTGTTTAATTCCGGATCATGCACACCACCAGTGTTGATTTGTATATGGACTTAAATGTTTCCAGTATATCTCCTAAGCCAGGGGTCGGGAACCTTTTTGACTGGGAGAGCCATAAAAGCCAAATGTTTCTAAATATATTTCATTGAGAGCCATATAGTATTTTTAACGTATAATAAATTAAATAAGTCTTACTTTTAATGCGACTTCTGGTCACGGGACCCGTGACCCGAGAAATTTTATCTTCAAAACTAATTTCTGTTTACTTTAAAATGACACAGTATTATTAAGCAATATCACAAGTATTTTAAAATCAGTTCCAAACTGATTTTATTTTTTTTTATTATTTTTTTCCGTCACCGGAAGAGCCATATATGGCTCGCGAGCCATAGGTTACCGACCGCTGTCCTAAGCTAATTGAGCCTGGATATTACTAATGTATTAACTGGAAAATATGCGCCGTCTTGCTTCACGGCGAATGTCAAAGATAGAAGCAGGAACGGTAGGCCGTTTGCGTGCTGGTGTCATGGTCCAAATAAAACAAAAATACCCCAAAAAATTACTCAATTGGGATGCACATCGCAACATCGCCCCTTACTGTGAAACTACTTGAAGGCGATGAGAAACATACGCGTCTTCGTGATAGCCTTTAGGCTATAAGAATGGCGTGAATACCAAATGTACTAAATTATTGTCATTCTGCTGGTCATGCTCAGATGATGCCTTTGATTCTGATCTTCCTGTTGCTTATTTGCATAATAAGAAATATTTTGCAGGTACAGTAAGTGGATTTCATGAGCAAATTCATCCATTTTCATGTGATTATCAGCAATATATTTCACAGATACGTGGAGTAAAATAGCAGATAACATAACAGGTTCATCCCTCACATCACTGCACACAAGAGCTCTACTGCACTGTCATTTGGTTTCAACCCTGTACAACATCACACTCAAATCCCGTAGAGGGGTGAGCATCGAATTGTCGCTCCTATGAACACGGGTGTCATGCTCACAATCTCAGCACAATTCACTAACCCATACCTGTGCTTATTTTCTCAACATAAACATTCTGGAGTATGGGTTGACTCACGTTTTGGTTCGTGACCATGATGATTTGTTTCTGTTAAAGCGCGCCCTCTTTGTCGACGAGGCATCTCAGTGATTCTCAAACATGTCAAAGATCATCCCAGTAGCTGTTGTCTCTGGGGGCACAAGGTCACTCAACGCATGGCCTGCAATCAGGGATTAGTCTACCAGTTTTGTGTGATGAATGCTATGTATGATCCAAATTGAGCAATTTGGAAAATTGTTGCCAATTTGTCTACTCTTCTTCAAATTACATCAGGGGATCTCTACCATCCACCATGAAGCAGATGGCGCATAGTATTTTGTATGGTAAATACGCCTGCAGTGATAACCACGGCGACCGCCTGGCACGAACTGCGAACCTCTGGACCATATCCCCTTGATGAGTCCTTTGAATGTTGCTGCACCACGACCGTGTCCCGTGTAATGACTAAAGCGAGCAGTAGGATACGTGACGCGGAGCCAGGCTCCAAGGCGTGCCAGGACCAGACTCGCTCCCCCAGGACCCAGTGCCACTTCCAACTCGGCCACGCTCTCTCCAGCGTGAGCCTCGAGCATGGAGGAGAGTAGGCGGGCACGCACCACTTCTTTTCCGCCATCCCAGCGTGCCAACCAGGCAGCCAGACTTCCCCTAGTCCGGCCGGGCGCACGTGGCCTGGCGACTGGTCCACTGCCGCCCCGCTCGCCGGCTGGCTCGGCCACTTGCATGATTAGTGACCTTTCCTCCCTGTCGTCAAAAGACACAACATACAAACTTGATCAAATTATTCATCCATAAGATAGGTATAAAATAAAAAATAATGCATCCTATTCAAAGTATTGATGTGTCAAATATTAGGCAACCTTTTGAGACACCGCAAAATATAAAAGTCTGTATCAGCACATGCACAGTGGTGGGAAAGAGAGAGTTTACATATGCCGTATTAAGGGAATAGCAGACAAAGCATAAGGAGCTTCGGCGGGAAGAGGTCTCACTATAGGTGTCCGTGTTCGTGCCCGACAAAGTGTTCGTGGTGGCGTTGTTGCAACAATAAAGTTCCATGACCAAGGCAACTACCGTTTTTTCCCGCATATAACCCGCGGGGTATACCACTTTTAACAAAGAAAACAAGACCCTGCGGGGCATATGGAGGTGCGGGCTATCTGAATTTTCTTTTACACAAAACGCTATTTTTGCGGGTTATATGCGTATGCGGGAAAATATGGTAATCGCGGTGGGAGATGGAATAAGAACCGGCGACCACTGGGTTGCTTGTCCAGCGTGCAAACCATTGCACCACGGCAGATCCCCCATCTACTGAACACCTAGGACAGCATTTGGTGGCAGGCCGAGATCAACATTTTGAAGAAGTAAATATGAAGACGACAACGGATAATTATCGTAGTGCTTCACAGAAAACTTAGCACAGTGCTGCAATGAAAAGCAACATTTCAATCTGCCTCGAGAGGAAAGCTCCCAAGTAGGACGGGCGTTGCTTGTGCGTGCGTTATGGACCATTGGGTAATGACAGTACGGGGAATTGAAAAGTGCCCAACGAATGGAGAGAGACGCGTTCGTTTCAATTACACCAAGACACAGGAAGGGCACACGGATAGAGAACGCACGGAGGGGGTTAAACACATCACATCGTTGTGAATGTTGTAGATTTGTTCTCCTAAACACACCGGTGTAACGAATTGGCATGTTCTGTTGACGTGACAACACTTACTAATTGGCTGTGTCGGGTGGTGGCGGGTTTAACGACACATTTATATTTAAGCGATCTAACACCCCCCCCCCCCCCCCTGTATTATGGACATCATCACATTAATAAAAAGTAGGCTTTGGACAGGACGGCCAGAGGCGAGATGGAGCCACCAAACGAGAGAACACCACGCACACGACAGAGACAGAGAGTGGGGACCTCCACCGTGGGTCGGATTGTTATTGTTGCTGCTGGCTCCTGCTGCTGCTGCTGAAACCTACTGCTGCTGGCTCCTGCTCCTGCTGGCTCCTGCTGCTGCTGAAACCTACTGCTACTGGCTCCTGCTGCTGCTGGCTCCTGCTGCTGCTGCTGAAACCTACTGCTGCTGGCTCCTGCTCCTGCTGGCTCCTGCTGCTGCTGAAACCTACTGCTACTGGCTCCTGCTGCTGCTGGCTCCTGCTGCTGCTGCTGCTGAAACCTACTGCTGCTGGCTCCTGCTCCTGCTGGCTCCTACTGCTGCTACTGACCTCTGCTGGCTCCTGCTGCTGGCTCCTGCTGCTGCTGGCTCCTGCTGCTGCTGCTGAAACCTACTGCTGCTGGCTCCTGCTCCTGCTGGCTCCTGCTGCTGCTGAAACCTACTGCTACTGGCTCCTGCTGCTGCTGGCTCCTGCTGCTGCTGCTGCTGCTGAAACCTACTGCTGCTGGCTCCTGCTCCTGCTGGCTCCTACTGCTGCTACTGACCTCTGCTGGCTCCTGCTGCTGGCTCCTGCTGCTGCTGGCTCCTGCTGCTGCTGCTGGCTCCTGGTTGGTGCTGCTGCTGGCTCCTGCTGCTGCTGCTGCTGGCTCCTGCTGCTGCTGCCACTTACTGTTTTCTGCTGCTGCTGGCTCCTGCTGCTGCTGCTGGCTCCTGCTGCTGCTGCCACTTACTGTCTTCTGCTGCTGCTGGCTCCTGCTGCTGCTGGCTCCTGCTGCTGCTGCTGGCTCCTGCTGCTGCTGCTGGCTCCTGCTGCTGCTGCCACTTACTGTCTTCTGCTGCTGCTGGCTCCTGCTGCTGCTGCTGGCTCCTGCTGCTGCTGCCACTTACTGTCTTCTGCTGCTGCTGGCTCCTGCTGCTGCTGGCTCCTGCTGCTGCTGCTGGCTCCTGCTGCTGCTGGCTCCTGCTGCTGCTGCTGGCTCCTGCTGCTGCTGCCACTTACTGTCTTCTGCTGCTGCTGGCTCCTGCTGCTGCTGGCTCCTGCTGCTGCTGGCTCCTGCTGCTGCTGCTGGCTCCTGCTGCTGCTGCCACTTACTGTCTTCTGCTGCTGCTGGCTCCTGCTGCTGCTGGCTCCTGCTGCTGCTGCTGGCTCCTGCTGCGGGCTACTGCTGCTGCTGCTGGCTGCTGCTGCTGCTGGCTCCTGCTGCTGCTGCTGGCTCCTGCTGGCTCCTGCTGCGGGCTACTGCTGGCTCCTGCTGCTGCTGCTACTTACTGTCTTCTGCTTGCGGCCGCATGTTTGAAGCACGCAGCGTTACCTAGAGACGAGGCAAGGCAGCTAACAAACGCCCCAGCCCGTATTTGGATCGAGACCATCAAATCAATAGAGTCGTGAGAAACCCCCATTGCTTGGGGGCCGTCCATAAATGACGTCACGCACCTAGGGGTGGGGGGGGGGGGTCAGACATTTGTGACGATGTGTGACGAGGGGGGGGGGGGTTTGAGAAATGTGACGTCACATCAAAATGCGCAACTTTAAATGAATATAGACAACACGTTCTACTTAATTAAATAGACTTTTTAATAATTGTTTTCTCCTACAACATCAGAGTGCAGCGGCACATTAAATACGCACTACAATGACAATAGTTTAAAGTGATTTGAAGCATGTTTTATTTTGGGGGGGGGGGGCAGAGCTTTGTGACGTCATATTTGAGGGGGGGGGGTCTGACTTTTTGTGACGCCCTGTGACGAGGGGGGGGGGGGTCAAAAATCGTCCAAAATCGCGTGACGTCATTTATGGACGGCCCCTTAACACACGTAAGTCGGCTTTCGCGACCAAAATGATGCACAATAGAGGGGGTTTATTTTTGGGGGGAGGGGGCTGGGCTAGATTGCGTAAATATGAATGTGTCGTTAAACCCGCCACCACCCGACACAATGTTAGACAACACGTGGTAATTCGTGACGGGTACAGCAGCCGGTGTGTTGGAGAGTTAAACCCACAACAACATTTACTATTTACTCAAATTGTGGTGGGAGGTGGCGGGCTTGACGACACATTTATATTTACGCGATAACATCCAACCCCCTCCCCCCCCATTATTGATTACAGCAACAAATATGCGATATTTTTTGGTCCATCAGTCTCCGTATTGGCTTACCAGACAGAATTCGTGGCCTTGACATTTGCTATATTCTTAGGTTTTTTCGGTAAAGTCACGTAGGTAAAACATCAAAATTAATGAAAGTAAAATAAAATATAAAAATCACTATATTGTTTTCATTAATTTTGATGTTTTACCTACGTGACTTTACCGAAAAAACCTAAGAATATGAATCCTTGCAGTCACGAAAGCTTCAAATCTAGAATTGACATTTGCTCTGCGTGTGCGGTCGATTGGGACGCAGCCCACGCGTGCAAGTTAAAGAGCCACGTTGCTTGTGGCTGTGTGTGATCTCGTAACTCTCACAACTCCACCCGTGCTGCTGAACTAGGTCACGATTTGGCATGTTTTGGGACAGTTTTGTTTATGTGGCAAAGCTTACCGAGTGGCTGTGTCGGGTTTAACGACGAATTTTACCCCCTTCCCAAAAAAAACGTGTTATGGATGATAGCAACAAATATGCAATTGTTGGTCTATCCGTCTACGGGACGGTGTTGGCTTTACAGGCAGAACACGTTGCCTTAGATTGAAACTACCCCCCACCACCCACTACATCCCCCCACCACCAACACCACCCCCCACAACCCTCACCATCACCCCACCCACCCCCACCACTACCCCCCCCCCACCAACAACCACCCCCCTACACCACCACCACCCTCACTACCCCCCCCACCACCAACACCACCCTCCACAAACCTCACCACCACCCCACCCACCCCCACCACTATCCCCAACAACCCTCACCACCCCCACAACCTTCACCACCCCCCACTACAACAACAACAACCGCCATTCGCCACTAAGTGGCGGTGACGTCACCACGATGCTTGTGCCAGGCCAAGTGCACCTTGAGGCCACGTGAAGTGTCGAACGCCCGCTGGCAGGAGGTCACGGGGCAGACCCAGGTGCCACGGGTCGACTGACCGAGATGACCGAGATGACTGGCTGATGCACCACCTGTGTCCCCTACTGTACCAACTTGCTGTGCTTTAGCCACCCGGCGCTCCGCTCGTTGTTGTGAGCGTCGCTCCTCCGCCCTCCGTTGTTGTTGGAGGGCGACTGCCTCCAACTGCCCAGTAGCGTCCTTCACGAGCCTCCTCCACTGAGGCCGATCTTGACACCGCTGGTACCAGTCATCGGCAAGTCCACTCAGCTCCACGTCCTCCTGTACCACATCACTCCATCTCTTCTCCAGCCCGTGCCGCGCCCGTCTAGCCCCCTCGATCCGGCCGAACAAAAGCTGTTTAGGCATGCGGTGGCTGGGCATGCGGGCTACATGACCCAGCCAACGCAGCATTGCCTGCCGGAGGAGCTCACTGATGGGACTTTGCCCAGATCTTTCAAGGATTTGTGAGCTCCTCACACAATCCAGCCTGGTTAAACCCAGGATGGATCGTAGGCAGGTCAGCCTAAATGTTTCCAACCGGCGAAGATGCTCCACTAGGGGGGTCCACGTTTCGCAAGCGTAGAGAAGGGAGGGAATGACCGTGGCCGAGAAGACCTGAAGCTTCGTGCGGAGCGACAGACCAGGTAGCTTCCACACAGCGTTACGCAACCGATGAAAAGATATTGCCGCTGAACTGATTCGGAGTGAGACCTCTGCTGATAAACTGGAGCCGGTCATAAGCACACTGCCCAGGTATGGGAAACTCTCCACTCTCTCCACAACTGCCCCATCACCAATTGGGAGTTGTGGGGGTGGAGTGTCCGATGGTACAAAATACCCAGGCAGGTGCTTAGTTTTGGTGGGGCTGATGGTAAGGCCCCACCTCTTAGTGGCACGCTCCAGTCTCAGCAGCAGCGTCTCCAACTCCTCTTCTGAATGAGCAGCTATTACCAAATCATCGGCATACATAACGTGGTTGACCAATAGGGAGCCATCCCTTGATCGCACCCGGGCATCGATCAGCCTCCCATTATATCTGTACCAAATGGAAATTCCCCCGGTACAGCTATTGAAGGCTTCACGAACTACGCGGTCAAAATAGATGTTAAATAATGTGGGAGCCAGAGGACATCCCTGTCGCACCCCAAGGTGTACAGGGAAAGGCTCCGACTCCCGGCCACGTAGTTTTACCCGGGCCTGCTCACCATCATGAAGGTCCTTAATGATCGTGAGCAGAGGGTCAGGGACTCCGAAAGCACGAAGAACAACCCAGAGCCCAGTCCTACTGATGGTATCATAGGCCTTGACCAGGTCAATAAAGCAGAGATGTAGGTCTTTTTGGAATTCCCTACACCTCTGCTGTAGCAGACGGACAGAAAATATGGCATCTGTGCAGGACCGCCCTTTCCTGAAACCGCATTGGGGCTCCGCAAGCCTCTCCTCAGCCTGCCTAGCAAGGCGATGTTGAATAATCCTTGCCAGGACCTTACCCGGCACACTGAGGAGTGAGATGCCCCTGTAGTTGTTACAGTCGGTACGGTCCCCCTTCTTAAAGAGGGGGACCACCAGGGCATCCTTCCAGTCCTGCGGAACCCGTCCAGTGGTCCAGACTGTTGTTATGATGTCATATAGGGCAGTCTGTGCACAAACGCCACCCTCCCTCAGCATTTCGCTTGGGAGATCATCTCTACCCGGTGCCTTCCCTGGTCTCAGACTCCGGATTGCCCTCAGTACTTCCTCAACAGCTGGCACCTCAGCCAGCCACTCACAGGGGGTGACCTCTTCCAATATTTGAGGCACCGCAGCCTCAGCAGGGTTATCACCACTTTGTGCCATGATGTTTTCCTGGCTGAGAGAATTTCCCTCCCCCAGGACCTCACAGAAATGCTCAGCAAATCTACAAACCTGTTCCTGGGGGTCGGAGATTGGATCACCGTTTTTTCCTCTAATGATGGTAATAGGTGTGGCGCTGCAGGTTACTTTTTTGATGGAGTTAAATAGTGATTTGTGATCACGGGCCACTGAGGCAGACTCCATCTCCTCAGCAACCCGCGACCACCACCCATCCTTACAGCGCCTTACGGCTCTCCGAACTTCCGAGCGAAGGCTGCGGTAAACCTCCTCATTCTCTGACGTGGGATGCTGTAGGCGATGAGAGTGGGCCTGTCGCTTTTTCTCAATTAACCTGAACACCTTCTCTGTCAGCCAGGGTTTCTGGGGAGGTCTGGACCGCGTACCCAAAGCAGCCATTGCAGCTGCATGAGTCACAGTCTTAAACCTCGCCCATTTACCCTCGACATCAGGTGGAGTGGGGGACGATGCCAACCCCAGCTGCAAGCGATGATGAAATTCTCGCTTGCAACTTTCATCAGCTGAGACCAGGCCACTTTTGGTTGGAATGGGATCCTGGGTGTACACCCACCACCGGAGTGGAAGAAAGGCAGGCGCATCTTACAGATGACTAGTCGATGGTCAGAGGGCAGATCAGCTCCACGGTAGGTCCTGGTGTCAAGGACATGGGCTCGCATTCGCTGGTCCGTCACTATGTAGTCCAGCAGATGTTCTTGCTTGGACCCGGCATGTATCCATGATGTTGTGTGGATGCGCCGATGCCGGAAGAGCGTGTTGGTAATTACAAGCCCATGGGCTGCACAAAAATCTAGCAGCCTCCTACCGTTATTATTGAGCTGATCTGGCCCATGCCTTCCAATCACTCCAGACCAGGTGTCAGCATCATGACCAACTCGGGCATTGAAGTCACCCAACAAGATGACTCTGTCCCGAGTGGCCACTTTAGCCAGCACCTGTGACAGGAAGTCATAGAAAGCGTCTGACTCATCGGCTTTGCTTGCATCCCTCCACGGATGTTCGTCTTCGGTGGGGGCATAAGTAACCACGACCACCACTCCTCGCCTCTGGTTGATGGGAAGGCGAGCCCAAAGTATCCTGGGGCTTACAGCTTCCCACACCTCACCGCCACGCTCCCACGCCCCCTTCATTCTTTTGTTCAGAAGAAGAGCCACACCCTGTTGTTTGGCAGTCTCCTACCCCGAGTAGAGGACTGTCCACCCCTCATGGTGGCAGGAGCCAGAACCGGTCCACCGGACCTCCTGAATGCCACAGAGATCCAGGCGGTACCGGTCCAGCTCCCGACAGAGGAGTGGCAGCCTCTCCTCCGCAGTGAGCGTTCGAACATTCCACGTGGCCATCCGCAATGGTTTTTTGTTGTTTCTGGAGGAGCCCCGAGGGTGAAAATTCAATCTCCTGGCTCCGCCAAATGGGGTTTGGCCAGGAGACGTCATAAAAGCCTGACCCCCCGGGGCCTCCGGCACAAGCTTATTAGTTACCGGTTTATGTTTAGTTTGTAGTTTACTGGTGGTTAATTGAAGGTGGAGGGGTTACCAGCCCCTCGCACCCGTCCAGAGCCCCCGTTTAGCCACTGTGGTGGACACAGACGCCATGAGGGGAGAGGCACTGCCCACGACAGTGTTGCCCGTCCGGCACCGCGAGGAGGTAGGAGGTTGTTTTGCCGGACTACACCCCACCCACCACGAACACCACCCCCCACCAACACCACCCCCCCTACACCACCACCACCCTCACTCCCCCCCCCCACTACACCCCACCCACCACCACCCTCACTCCCCCCCCCCACTACACCCCCCCCACCACCACCCTCACTCCCCCCCCCACTACACCCCCCCCACCACCACCCTCACTCCCCCCCCCCACTACACCCCCCCCACCACCACCCTCACTCCCCCCCCCACTACACCCCCCCCCACCACCACCCTCACTCCCCCCCCCACTACACCCCACCCACCACCACCCTCACTCCCCCCCCCCACTACACCCCCCCCCACCACCAACCACCCCCTACGTAAGATGGCGCCCGTGTCTATATCCGGGCTGGCGGCGCGTGGCGATGACGCGCGGCTACGTCACTGCCGCCCGCTGCGCTCCGCGGCGCCGCGACTCCACGATGGCGGCGGCGTCGTTCTCCTTCGGCTCCGCGGCGCTCGGGAACGCGGGAGGTAAACAACAACAGCTACAGCCACAACAACAACAGCCACAACAACCACAACAACCACGCACGGGGTGGAGTGTGAGAGAGTGAGTGTGCACGTGAAACCGTGGGGAGCGGTGGTGCAGCGGTTAGCGCTACGAACCCGGCGACTCGAGTTCGATTCCCGCTCACGGCCAACACCAGTGACGATTATCTGAACCGGTCCTGGGCCTTCCCTAGGTCGACTCAGCCTCAAATGAGTACCTGGTGCGGTGTGTAAACACCGTCACTAGGGAGACAAAGGCGGTCGGGCGTGGTACTGGCCACCCACCCCCTCGTGTGCCGTGCCGGCCTTCATAGGTGCTCGCTAACAGCACTTGCCCCTACAGTCTGTTAAGGCTACACATGAGGGGGCCTTTGTCTTTGGACGTGACACCTAGACTGGTACGTGCGATAGAGAGCGAGAGATGTTGGTGGCCACTCACGCACAGCCGGTCGATCCTTCCACCCCCCCCCCCCCCCACCTCTTGTTCATTACTGTACGCGTCGCAGAAGGGTTTGTGTTCATTACACACAACGAGAGACAATGGCATGTAGCGAGGACTACAACACAAAGACAAAGATTCCCCGCATAGCCCGCACACACTGTAGGGGCAAGTGCTGTTAGCGAGCACGACAACACACGCGGCTGGTGCACCACCGTACTTGTGACACGGGCAGTTAACGGCGGTGAAAGGCCGCATCCACTTGGATAACAAAGACAACAATATCCTGTAGTTTACAACGCGCGCATTTCATGGGCATAGTTTCTTGTTGAGCTCGGCAAGCTGTTCCACTCGACATCCACGCGAACGAGGCGAGGCCTTTCAGTGTCTCCTAGAAGTAGACAATATTGTGTGGTGCTGACAGTGGCGCCCTAACCTCAACAGTAGCAACAGCACCAACAACAAAACCTTCAACACATTCATCAATAACACCGCACGGTTGCCTACGAAGTTCAAAATACATCCATAAAATAGGCGACAAATGCCTGCTAGTCTTTACAACACATTGAGAGAGAGGATTTGAGGGTTGGAGATTGCACTTAATAACCATATGGCCTGATGAGAATGAATAAAAAAAGGTTTTGTTGATAACCACTTTTTTAAACAGGTATGTGAATAGCTACCGAATAGTAGCGGACGAGACACAAACTCTTCAATCGAAATATATTGGCGTGCTAATCGGAGGTTCGGTGGAAGGACAACATACTGAGCGCAAAAAGATATTCTAAAGAAATTAGTTTTCTATTTAAAGGAAATTCGTTTTACATTTAAATAAGCTGCTATATAAACCAATTAAAAGTTAAATCTACAATGTTGCTGGGACACTGCATTCTGGAAGATGTGTTCTTGTGGGAAAGGGGTAGTAACTACTTAATTTTTCTTGCAATGTTTTGTAAATGTGACATTATGGACACTCGACTTACGAACGGGTCGCGTGCCTGAGATCCGTTTGTAAGTAGCAACGCAATATGTACTGTACTTTACTTAAATGCACATACGGTTAGAACCGTTGGCTACGTTGGTACGAAATAAGTTCAACATACATAAAACATATATTACGGTTCAACAAAAAGGGAAGCATTGTTAAACTTATAAACAAGAAACAATATTGTAGATTTGCATGTAATACTGTAATAATTACTTTCACACACACATGGGCGTGCGCGCAGACAAACACTAAATAGTCCTGCGGTTCAGTTTGCAAGTGCGAGTTTGCATTTGCAAGTTGATATAAAATATATATCTCGTGGAAGCTCGTTTGTAAATGCGAATGTTCGCAAGGCGAGTGTTCTTAAGTCGGGGATTGCCTGTGCTGCTCGTGACCATGTCTCGTTATGTACCACTGCTTTTCAGGGTTTGGATTTGGTCAGAACCCAGCCACCACAACGGCAGCACACACAGCTGGATTTGGTGGCTTTGGTAACACAGGTAATATTTACGTGACTTCGTATCATGGCAGTCCAAGCTTGGACGTAATATCACACTGGGTAACAATTGTTTTTGTTCCTGGGTAGTAAGTGTTATTTTATAATTTCTTATGCCTCAAAAGTACAGAAAATGGCTATTATTCCCAACAAACTTGAGAAAACGGGCGAATTTGTGTCTTTTCGTTCACATAAAGTCAGAAAAAACAACATGAATCAAAATTAACATGTATTTATACTAAATTAATACCAAAATTACTACAAAATATGTATACACCAAGGCGCACTACCACAGGCAGGACTGGCCAGAGCGGACCGAGTTCTCTGTGGGGAGGAACAACGTCAATTGGGAGCCACTGGTGGACCCCCGGAAGGTGCTGATGCCATCACTGCACATCAAATTGGGCCTTGTGAAACAATTTGTCAGAGCTGTAGAAAAGGAGTCTGCAGCCTTTCAAGTATCTTCAAGACTTCTTCACTAAGCTGTCCGAGGCAAAGGTCAAAGCTGGTGTCTTCGTCGGACCACAGATAAAGAAGATCCTGGAGCGCAATTAATTCCCCAAGAAGCTCACTAGTAAGGAGAAAGTGGCTTGGAACCGCTTTGTCGCAGTGGTTCGTGGCTTCCTGGGCAATCACAAGCTCGAAAACTATGTGGAGCTGGTTGAGACTGGTGAATAATTAGGGCACAATGGGATGTAGGATGTCCCTCAAAGTCCATATCTTTGGTGCTCATCTTGATAAATTCAAGGAGAACACTGTCCTGGTCACAAAAGCAAAGTTTGTGGGGAATAATAGCCATTTTCTATACTTTTTAGGCATATGCAATTACAAAATAACACTTACTACCCAGGAACAAGATTTGTGTTACATAGTTCATGGGACCTCCTTTGCCAGTATCAAAATATAACAATAGGTTTTCCCCTTTTTTCTGGCAACAAAACAGGTGTTAAGATGTAAAAACATCAAACTGAAACCTTTTGCAAGGAATCATGTCTGCATTAATCACATATACTTGTGGTCAAAATGCAAACAAAAAACATCCTCTGATAATATATGCATTGTCTTTGAAACTGATTGGTCCACACCAGAGACAGCTTTCTTTTGAGCCTAGTCTCAAACAGTGTTAGACCAATCTTAATTTTGGAGCTTTCGTGACTGCAGGAATTATTCTTTGGTTCTTTCGGTAAAGTCACGTATAAAGATAAAATAATAAATTAAATAATAGCATACGACGTTTCGATTGCAACACAAGCAATCATCATCAGGTATAAATGATATAGCAACAAAAAATCTAACCAGAAAACTATAGACAGACATATAAGCAGACAGATATCACCAAGATACATAGAGAGAGTAACACAGGTACAGAGAGGGGGATCGTCTCTGTGGGGTGGCCTTAGACGAGAGGACGCCAAAAGGCGTACAGCATAAAGAAAAAGCATTATCAGAGCAATGAGAGATCGGGGTGAGCAGCTACATCATGGGACCTCCTTTCCCAGTATCAAAATATAAGAAGAGATTTTCCTCTTTTTTTCTGGCAACAAAACAGGTGATAAGATGTTAAAACACCAAACTGAATGAGGTTTGAGTAACTCCTCCCTTTTATTTTCAATTAAATGCTCCCATGTTGACTTTGTGGGTTCGTTTTTTAGGATATAGACTTGCACTTTTGGGTTATTAGCAGTTAAAATCACTCGGTCAGCAGGTCATAACACCCAATTGCATATTATCCCCCATAAATAAGTATTGTTTTATAATTACACGTAACATTTCACGCACATTTCATTACATGGCCCATCATACATTCTTGTGATGTGTCCTGCCCGAACTCGCTTGGCTTAATAGTTTGAATGTTGTCATGATGAAAGGTGATTTTGCGGAAGATTCTGATTTGAGTTCTCCATTGAACCTGTTGTATCGCTCTGTTTCTGTCACCCTCAGCGGCCCCAATGTTTGGTGGATTTGGCATCCCCACCAGCTGTGCTGTTGCCCCGGCTTCAGTGAACCAAGGGTTTGGGGGGTTTGGGACACTCACCATGGCCCAGAGTGGTGCTAATACGGCCGTGTCAACTGTGGGGGTAAATCCTGGGGCTGCTGGAGTCTGTGGGCAGCAACCTGGAGCTGGATTCAACTTTGGTGGATTTGCAACAAATTTTCCTCCCCCGACAAGCACGGCCGCGTCACAGCCCGGCACGGGGTTCTGCTTCGGAGGTGATAAAACGCACAAAACAGTTTTTATGGTTTTCTAGTTGTTCTGCCAAATTCTCCGGATTATGAGATACAAATGCTTCCTTTGTTTTAACAAGAAAAGTTGGAGGTGATGGTGCTGTTTGACAGACAAAGCATGGTTTTGCACGAAATGTAAAAAATAAGTTTCATGTTACTCGTGGTATCTCGTACGATGCTTTAATAACGCTCGGATTTTTGTTAAATAACATTGTCCATGGCACAGGCTGTTACCGCTTTGTAGGGTATATCTCTATAGGGTATCATTCGAGGTATGTGAAATGCCATCCGTTCTTATTGGTTAATTTCGTGCTCCGAGTCTTAAACCACACATGTAATGACACGTGCTCATTTCTAAACTTGTGGTGCATCGTGAGATGTGAAAAGTTCAGTTGTTTCGGAAATGCAAATTGAACAATATTCACAGATTGACCCAAATACATGCATATTCTATCTGAACGAGAACTAAACAAAAATTTATGTTTCTGTAGGTCCAAGACCGACGGGGATGTTTGGTGGGTTTGGTGGATTCGGGAATTTGGGCGCGGGGACCGGAGGGCTTGCTGCAGGCACGGGGGCACTTGGTGGTGGCTCCGTTGGACCGTTCGGGGGATTCTCAGCCATGGGAGCTCAACAGTCTCAACAAGTCGCTGGTAACCACGCGCTCGCTCACAGGCGCTTCCATGTGCTCGCAGACGTGTGTGGACACTGTGCTAATGGCAACATTTATACCTTGCTGTCGGACCTGTGGCTGTGTGCAGGAGCTCCTGTTTATAACTTGGCCACTGCGCTGTCCGCTCCATGCGTATTTTCTGACGAGCGCGACGCCATCATTGCCCGCTGGAATCAACTGCAGGTAAATGCTATGCGCACAACACATTCTTTTTTTAAATAAGTGGAGTAGGTTTGGATTTTATAATGCCGCTAGATATACTTTTGCACGTCACGTACAGTATTTAAATAATGTAATATTTATTTATTCAGCACTTGGGTTCTTCTACTCCTTTTGGGTGTTCCTATCAAGGCTGTTGGATGGACTGCATTTTCTGTTTCATTCTCAAAATGTTTTTTTGGTTAGATAGTGTCAATATAAATGTTTTGTTAACCCGCCACCAACCGACATAGCCAATTAGTAAGGTTTGTCATGTTAGCAAAATGTGGCAATTGGTTAACGACACATTTATATTTACGCGATCTAACCCAAACAAACCTTTATTATGGATAATATTTGTCGCGAAAGCCTACGTGTTAAATTGTTTCATTATATATGCCTATAATATATTTTATTTTTAGGCCGTGTTATTTCAGAATGTGCCGGGTTTTTGGTTCATTTGGGGGCGGTGATGTGTCCCAGTGGTAGCACGTTCATCGCTGTTGCAGAAGTTTGCTCTTAGTTTTCAGTGAGTCCACCCTGGTTAATACTGTTGGTGTATTAACCATAAAATACGCATACTCTCTGTTCTTTGGTTCTTTCGGTAAAGTCACGTATAAATACTAGTATTTAATTTAATTTATTATTTTATCTTTATATGTGACTTTACCGAAAGAACCAAAGAATAATTCCTGCAGTCACGAAAGCACCAAATTAAGCATACTCTCTGCTTCACAGTGGACGTTAAAGATCCCATGATGCCATTTATAGAAGAGTAGGTGATTGTGTATCGACACCTTGGTTCAAATTTTCCGCATTTTTAACATTACTCGCAAATGAAAAACGAAGAATAGGCTTTACCGTTTCCAGCAACAACACAGGTATCAAGACTTTCAAACACCAAATAAACACCTAGTGCAAGACATCAAGTATGCATTAACCACGCACGCATGACCCTCCTGAAAAGTGTTGCGACTGAACGAGGCTTTCCCAGATTAACACGTGGAACAATAATACAGCTACAGTGGTACCCCGGAGATCGGACTTAATTAGTTCCAGAAGGCCATTCGAACACCGATTTGTTCGAACACCGAATTCCTTTTCCCCATAATAATTAATGTAAATTACATTAATTGGTTCCAGACACGAGAAATCTCTCATTATAAAGTTTTTTTACACGAAGTTTACAGTAATTACATGCATAACATCATACAAAAAACAAGAAACACAATAAATAAATGGAATAAATGAATAAATATATGGAATAAATGAACATTGAACTTCACTTTACCTGTAGTAAGGAGAGTTGATGGCGTGAGTGGAAGGTGGTGAGGAGGAGGAGGTGGTAAAACCTTTGTCTGGGCAAGCGTCATGCATGCTGGCCATACGCGTCTGAGCCGTACAGGTTCTTTCAAGTCGCGATTGCCCCGTTCGACCTCCGAATTTCGTTCGGTTTTCGGGGCAAAAAATGTTCAGAAATATCGTTCGAACACCGATTTGTTCGAGTTCTGGTGCGTTCGTTCTCCGAGGTTCTACTGTAATAATTTGCAAAAGCGATATGGTGACAGATGTTATGAAATGCACTGACTCTTCATCATTCTTTGTGCTTGCGTTTGTGTGTGAATGTGGCTTGCTTTGTAGGCATTCTGGGGCACAGGTCGGGGGTACTTCCTTCAGAATGCACCCTGCTTGGAATTCACCCTTCAAAACCCTTTCTGCCATTTCAAGGTATGACAAACTTCTCATGTACATTTTCACTTGTCTTCCGGTAGTCATTGGTTGTCAGTGGCCCATGTGATTTGAGCTCCCGCTCTCATCCCTGGCAGTTTGGATGAATTGTCAAGATTTGTTTCAAGAATCGATAAGTTTTTTCTTCGTTTATACCATCTCATTTTCACTCATGTCTGATAAGTTCTGCCTTGCTCTTTCATATTCCAATTAGTCTGCATCTACAATAGCATAACACATTCCTGCGGAGGGAGCTGGTAGGCACGTTGGGTTGCTCGGTCAATGGCCAGGGTCAACGGCGGCGTGGTGTATTCCGCAAATATGCCCGACTGTGAGGGCGGGCACAAGCCGGCGTGAGTAGGTTAAACGCTGTGTACGGCACCACGGGGTGACCAGCCCCTCCCCACCCAGCCCCACCCAGCCCCACCCCTCCCACCCAGCCCCACCCTCCCCACCCAGCCCCTCTCTGCACGACGGACGGACACAATAATCCCCTGTGGGCTGGTGGAACCAGTTGGTTCCTACCAGTAAAAATGTCATTAAATATCATCAACTATTGTTTATTCTGTGCTGGATAAAGGCCCGTTACCATCCCGAAGTCCTGTGATGCCAAACTTATTCCTCTCTTGCCTAAGAACTAATACCGCTCCATCTCCACGGTGGCCGTTATCCCTCGTGAGATGTCCTTGCCCCAAGCCTACTTGACTTAACAGTCTATGACGTCTCTGGATTCATTTTCTTATTTTATTCGCGTGTTCCTCTTTCGGTATAGTTCCAAACATGCATATATCTCCACGCTTTTCAGCTATTTATTATATTTGCGTATTCCCATGTTGAGTATACGGAGCATGTATTGCGGTATATCTGACTTTCACTTGACCCCACCTGCCTCGCATCTTTACGAGCAGGTTTTTAAAACCAGGCAGGTGTGTTTCTATTTATGTTTTGGCTAGGGTGGGCTGCTGGCAGCATGCCATTGTATCTTCCAATAGTAGAGACAGTTGTGTCATTAATGTCATTGTCTTGCTTCTTGTTCGCATTGTGGGTTCCTTAAATTGGTTTGCATTTTTTTAATTGCTTGAAAATAAACGACCCTTAAAATTTGAAAAAAATCTATTGCCTATTATTGTAAAGCTTAATTTACTATACATGTTGGGCCTAACTGCAGTCTCTGTAGGACATGCACGGCAAATTTAATTATATATGCATGTAATAGGCGTTTGGGTGCGATGTTCGTTGTTAATCGCATACGTATAAGTTTACAGTTTCAATATGTTTACATATGTCTCATGAGAGTTGTTGTCTGCTGTGTCTCATTGAGGCCGTGAGGCGCGTAAGAGTAATGCTTGCTGCTGTGTGTCTTCGTTGAGGCTGTGGGGTACAGCCTGGGCACACTGCACGCAGATGAAGAAGGCCTGGTGACCATGGTGCTGGCGCGGCCGGTGCACGAGGTGCAGGAGAAGCAGGCGCTCGTGCTGGAAGTGCTGCTGCGCGCCGTGGGGGGTGGTGGCAGCGCTGGGAACCTGCAGCCTGGCCTGGAGAGCATTAAGGCTGTGCATCAAGGACAGTGAGTGAGCGGTGTGATTGCGAGTTGTACCGTGTGCTGTTCAGCACGGTGTCCACAAACGTTTGGTTCCACGTACTGAGAGCTTCTTCAGAAACCGATGTCCGATGTCATGCTGAACACGTAGTACAACCCGAGGAGTGCAATAGTTTTTCTAGGTCGGGAGAACCATAATCTTTAATGTCCATTGTGAAGCAAATGGCGAGAGGTGTTTTACAGTTGAAACAACCGCAGTATTAACCAGAGCGGCTTGCCGGATTTGAACGGCGAACCTCTGCAATATGCGGCCAACCAACATGCTACCACTCGGCCACGTCAATGTGGTGTCTGTGCGGTAAGCTAAGGCAGAGCCTTGGCCCTGCTGATCTTTGCCGTGGTCATGTGGTAGGACGGAGGTGGTGGTGTACGTGACGGAGCGGGTCCCCGGCGGCGGCGCCCGCAGGGTCCATGCCTCCACGCTGTGTACGGCGCTGGAGCAGCTGTCGGTGCGTCCGATGCTCGACCAGCAGCTCTCCGTGACGCTGCTGGCACCACGAGTCGCGCTGTCTCAGGCGCAGATGCAGCAGCATCTGCGCACTCCGCCAGCCGGTACCGAGCGCTCGCACACACACACACCCACCCTTGGTAAACAAACCCACGTGTAGCCCAGCATTTTCTTTCTGTGTTCATGTGTGTGAGGGGTATTGGTCGGTATCCTTTATTTAACCAAGTCTAGAGTCCTACAGTGAATTCGTAAACATTTGAATAAGTAATAAGGAATTGTACTTAAAAGAAACATTTCTAAGCATTCAAATTCCTGGACAGGTATGTGGCTGCATTATTGAAGGGTATAATGTTGACATTTTTTTCAAATGCTTACTGAAGACACTTTTCCTGAAAGTCATGAAGGAAAGTGGCTGGGTTGAAAGTTGATATGAAGGTATAGGCCGTTTTTTTGCACAGTGGTATTATCTATTTTTCCACGTTGCTAATTGTTTGTTGTTTTTAGGAATTGACCCAATTATTTGGGAACAAGCAAAGATTGACAACCCTGATCGAGAAAAGTAAGTCTCCTTCGTTATATTATAAGCTTGTTTGCCCAGGAAAGTCTCACAATTGTATTTCGGGTGGGTCCTATTGAGTTTTTGGAGTAGGGGCGATGTGGCTCTGGGTAATTTTAATTGATAAATGTGCAGGTAATTTGTCAGCATTGACATGTTTAACCAATTGCAGTTACATCGTTTTTTTGCTATGGGAAGAAACCAGATTGCTTTGGGAAGAAACCAGAGAACCCAGAAAAATTTCTACTCTTTGGTTCTTTCGGTAAGGTCACGTAGGTATAAAATTAAATTGATCAAAGCATGCTTTCCCACCTGATGACGGACCTGATGATGGACGCTTGTGTTGCGCCCAAATCGTCGTGATCTATTTTATTTTATACCTACGTGACTTTACCGAAAGAACCAAAGAGTGTGGATTCATGCAGTCACGAAAGTTTCAAACCAAAAGAATCTAGTGCCCAAAAAATAATCTCATGCCCAACGGGGGGGGGGGGAATCTTACACAACTCCACACACAAAGGCACCCGAGTTAGAAATTTAAGCCAAGGGCCATCTTGCTGCGAGGCAAAAGTGTTACCAATGCACCACCCTGCCATCCACGAAGGATCTTGAATGTTTAACGACAGCTGAATATGCACGCGGGTGTTATAATGATGAGAAATAAGAATAGGTTTTACCATTTTTGGCAATAAATCAACACTGGTGAGACAAGGCCATAAAGAAGGCTGTCTCTGGTGTAGGCCAATCGGTTTCAAAGACAATCCGTGTATTATTATCGGCGCATGTGTGTTTGCATGGCTTTGCCACAAGTATGTGTGGTTAATGCAGACTGATGCCTTGAAAAAGGCATCTGTGTGGTGTTTGAACATCTTAACAACTGTTTTATTCTTGATACTGGCAAAAAGGTCCCATAGGTGTTATAATGGTGACTGTGTGTAGACTCATCCCTGTGCCCATGGTGGGGTTCAAAGAGTTGCACCAACGACTGAAGAGCCAGGAAGAGATGACCAAGCTGCACCAGAGCCGCTTGGAAGTGAGTGTCACGTGCACAAATAATAAATAATGACCATTTAGCACTCGTGCCATTCTTATAGTGCAAGGCTGTCACATAGGACATCGCTGTGCGTTTCCCACGCGATGTTAGATGTAATTCCATTTGAGTGATTTGTGGGTAATTTTTTCAAATTAGGAAATTTGGACCATGATGCCAGCACACAATGGCATTCTGGTTTAACATGTTTTGTGAAGCTAATGGTGCACATTTTATGGTTAATACCTCCACAGTAAAAACCAAGGCAGCCTACTGGATGTGATCCTCTGCAACAAACAATGAAATGTGCTACCGTTGGTCCATGATATTGCTCCTCATGTACACATCGTATACACCTTGCTAGTGTGGGTTCTTCCACGGTTCCACCTAGCTGGGTTTTACATTGTACAGTAACAAAGTCAGCAGTTAGCTGAGTCTCACAACTATAATGTATGTATATTTAACACTTTGCTTTTGCGAGCTATATCCATAAAACATTTTTTTTGGGTTAGAGCGCGTAAATATAAACGTGCCGTTAACCCGCCACCACCCGACAGGCAATTATTAAGGTTTGTCACGTAAACAAAATGTGGCAACTAGTTGCTACTTCAGCACACCGCTTGTGTGTTGGAGAGTAAACCCACTTGATATGAGTACGACGTTTTTACTGGTGATTACAACCAGCTTCATCAGGCGATTTTCCAGAATTGTGAAGGAGTCTTCCTGTTTTGGTCTAAAATAGAGTAAACGTGATCTCATCACTGAGCGTTTCAGGTGCGAAGAGCATAGGGGGGGCTAATGTAGTCCTATACATTACAATGGATTATGGTGATCCTGAGCATATGCAGTACATATTGGCTTTGTTAGTCAGTTAATCAACGTACAGTGCAAACGTTTTAGTTTGTTGTCCTTACATTCTGTTAATATGATAATATGTAGTACATATTACCGGTTAGATTTGTCACAGTTAATCAACATATGGTAACCTGCATATAGGCATGCAATGAAACAGTGTATCACTTAATAATATGCTTCCCCAAACACCTTTATTATGGATACAATGTATGCATTTTGAACTTCTCTTGCACCGTACGTAGCCAACTCTGCTGCTGAAGGATCAAATGAAACAAACCCTTGTGTGTGCAGATCATCGGAGAGGACATACTGGAGCTGAAGAAGCTGCAGACAAGCACGCTTGCCAAGTCACAGCAGTACAAACGCAAGCAACTGGAGTTGTCTCATCGGCTCCTACAGGTGTGTGTGTGTTTGCGTGTGTTTGTGTGTGTGTTTGCGTGTTTGTGTGTTTGCGTGTTTGTGTGTGTTTGTGTGTGTTTGCGTGTTTGTGTGTGTTTGCGTGTGTGTTTGCACTTGTGTGTTTGCGTGTGTGCGCCTGCACGGGTAGCAGTAGTACAGTGGTTAACACACTCGTGTCATGAACACACTTGTGTCATGCACCTAGATTCCTGCTCACGGCCAACATCGGCGTCGAATATCTGAACCTGTCCGAGGCCTCCGCTAGGTTGACTCAGCCTTAAATGAGCACCTGGTGCTGTGTATAAACAGTATTAGTTAGTATGTGGTGCCGGTCATCCACCCCCTCGTGTGCTGGCCTTAAAAGATGCTCCCAAACAGTATTTTCTTGCTTGCAAACAATGTCAGCTGGGTACCTAAAATGATTAACTTTTAAGTTATTAAGTTACCAAGACGGAGCTTTAGAAGAAATGTGAATGCCTTATGTAGAGCTATTGATGATTTTATCTGTGTGAATATAACCTTATGTGAAAGTTTCTCTGTATACAGTAAACCCTCTCTATCTGCGACGGTTATGTTCATAAAAACGCTCACGAATGCAGAATTTGCGAATGCAGAAACCTTGTTCCAATGGAAAAATGGGGTTACATTCCTGTTACGAGTGAACGTAGGGGGGAAATGGTAAATGTTTCATAACAATGACTACAATCAATATATTATAAAGAACAATTTTTTATTATCTTTGATGATTAGGCGACAATGTAGGTGGTCGTGACGGTGAAGAATTCAGGAGGATGATTCCTCGGGAGATGCAGGTGTTTGACAACAACTCCGTACAGTTATAATTTTAGCACCCTGGGGAGCATTAGCCGCAACACTTTCCCTGATTGCATTCGCGTTCTTTTTAATGAACCTCGGTCGACTCGTTTATACCAAATTGTGTAAACGAGTCGACTAAGTACGTATTAAGTGAAAACGCGCAATAGCTAGTTCAGAGTGAGATCACTGCGAGACTTGAGGATTAAGTGGGCAGCCGAGGGGGCACGCCTAATCTTCGCAGGCAGTTTCAAATGTTAAATTCTGCACACACCTCCCCAGTGTCCGGTGGCCTGGCACTACGTAGACTTCCGCATATTGGAGTCTGGCGGGTCATGAATAGAGAATGGGTATACATTTAGTAAATCGCAAACATGCGAAACTCGTGAATCCAGAACTTGCGCACAGCGAGGGTTTACTCTTTGACAATACGTGGTAATCTGCCAGGTGGCTCAGCAGTAGAGCGAGTGGCTCACAATTGAACACTTGTGAGTTCAAATCGTCTGAGGATGAAAAAATAAGTGCTACTTTTTTGGGTAATATCTTACGGAAGGCCTCATCCTGCCATAGCAATGGGGAATTTCCACGACAGGACTGTAAATTTGGAGATGAGCACTGGATCTCGAGGCTCATTTGAGTCTGAATTCACTGTGACTTTGTGTGATGGGCATTGATAGATGTGTCTAAAGTGTCCATTGCGTGACATCATCAGGTGGTGACCAAGCAGGAGGTGATGCGCAAGAGTGGCTGTGCGATACAGTCGGATGAGGAGCAGCTGCGCGTGACACTCGAGTCCCTGCAGGGCGACCTTAACGCACCCACTCAGTACAAGGTGGGCGGCAGAGTGGTAACGCTTGTGCCTCAGTACCAAGGTCGTTCTGGGTTATAATCCCAACAGATTAAGTTGTATTTCTCTCCCTGCTCTGCACTGGTTTCCTCTGGGTTTTCCGGTCTTAACCCTACATTGTGCAAACTTGGTACGACCCGGCTGAAAATTCTTGAGATTCAGGTGAGGATTTTCTGGGTAAACAGAGGTAATACTTCGCGATTCACAGTAGTACACTTATTATTGCGCTGATTATATCTAGGATGGTCTTGGTGAGTCTTAACAATTGTTTCAGGAGGGTTCTGCAAATGTATTGAATTTAATAAGTGGGATTTCACGACTAATATTTTTAATGATAAAGGTTTGGATTGCGTAAAGTTTGCACATGAGGTCACGATTGTTATGTTTCCATATTAAGTAATTTGTGAGCTGTTTTTCTCATTGGGAAAATTTGGGCCTTAATACCAGCACATAATGCCTACTCTTCTCTGGAGTATATCATGGGATCTTTAACATCCATTGTGAAGCAGGCAGTGCATAGTATTTTATGGTCAATACGCTCGTAGAATTAACCATGGTGACTTTCTGGTGGCAAACCACGGATATCTGCAAGAAGCAGCACACACGCTACCCCACTGGGATGTCACATCTCCAATCTTCAATTGGTGAATGTTTAATTTCATCAGATTTTTTACAAAAAAGTGACATCTTCAGTACCAAAACGGTGCAAATCGCCATGGTGATCTGTGTAAGCAATGTGAATCTGTCATATGTTCTCATTATCCATCTAATCTCATACAATTACTGTCAATTGCATATAGTGGTGAATAGAGGCCCATACTTTGAGAATTGTGAAGCACAGAGCCACAGCTGCATGTATATGTAATGAGACGCACGGTATATGGCAATGGTTAGCCTCTATGCATGTGTTTCCAATGCATGCCTGTGTGTTCCAGGTCTTGTGTTTGTTCAGCTTACACGGCTGCACTCGAATGGGTTTCAGAGTATTTGCATGCCGAAATTAGTTTTTCACCGCGCTTCTATTTCTTGCTGTTGCTGTTTGCGTGCAGGGCCGACTCAATGAGCTCATGTCCCAGGTTCGCATGCAGAGCCACTGTGGAGTTGCACGCTCGGATGACAAGTACAGCGTGGAGCCTGGCCTGCTCATGGAAATCAAACAAGTAAATATGTTCGTCGTCTCGGTGATTTGTGAGTGTTGATGAAAGCTGCTGTCGAGTTCATTCGTTGTTTTATTTTTACCAGTTGAGAACTTGAGGGACCAGGATTACAAAAATTCTAAAAGCAATGAACGTGTACACAAGTGCAACAATAGAACAAGTAGAAATCTGAGCAAAAAAAATGACATGGAAATAGGAGTTGAAACAAACTAATCATTAATGAAAACAATATCAAAGTACAGGCAGTCCTGTCTTAATGTTGACCCTGTTTAACATTGTTTTCCAACAAAGTTCGTGATGCATTACCACCCATGAATGGGTTTCACGTTGCCTGGTATCGCTGTAACGTTGCTGCTAGCGGGCAACTACTTTCAAGAGCTGAGGAAGTTGCCCGCACATGCGTTGCTGGCAATGCTCCCCTCGATGCCCATTGTATCGCTACCGGCAAGTCGTCGCTTTCTTGAGCTGCATGGCTGAGCAGTACGCTACAGTACGCGAAATGATACAGTCCGTGGTCGCGTACCCTCCTCTCAGATCTTGCGATCCCTATTGCTTCAAGTGTCAAGAAGTATAGGAAGGTGATCACTTTTCAAACCAAATTGTAAGTGTTACAGCACTTTGCAGCAGGAGATGAGAGCCATGGACATTGCCACTGTGCTTGGTGTGTGCCGCTGGTTTTTGGGATTGAGTCAGAAAGTTGTTTGAGAGTTTTTTTTTTTAAGTCGACAAGAGGATGGAGTCGGCTGTGTGGACAGCCACGGGAGACTGTGCCACACCGCAGACCAAGCGGGAAAGATTGGTAGCAATTCTGAGCTAGTTTAAAAATATTGAAGCCAATGAGTCGAGCATTACCTATCACCATCAGGGAAGATAAATGTTACTTGTTGCGACAGGTGTAAGCATGAAGCAAGTTAGAACTGGGAATTGGACAGGATGCTTCCAGAGAGACCAAATGTTGAAGATAAGCAAGGTGTCTAGGAATCATTGGCAGTGCTACATTGTGATACTGCAGTTGAATAATCCATTCCAAATGATTACTAATCTACAACTCGCATCGTAACAATAGCCTGATTACTAATCTAGTATATAATTACAATAACTCCCCCCTCAAATCTTTGCACCTGATGAGTTAATGATGACGTCACCCTGCTGCTGCTCTATATAAGAACGGGAGACACAGCAGAGCCTCACCATTCTGGCGAATTGCCCGATGATGCTGGATGCAATTACCAGCGAAACGTCGTACTCAAATTGTAAATGTGGCTTCAACACACCGGTGGGCTAAAGCAGTGAACTAATTTGTCTTTTGTCAACGTGACACTTTTTTACTGATTGGCCGTGTCGGGTGGTGGAGGGTTACGACACATTTATAAATAACGCGATCTAAACCCAAAAACGTTGATTATGAATAATATTGGTCGCGAAAGCCTACGTGTTAAAGTTGAATATTAGTTACACTGCATGCCCTTTACCTGTAATATACTGTAACGCCTGATTGTTACAATAATTATGCGTTGACATGTTGTAATGTTTTTGCTGACATTACAGCACTTGAGACAAGCAGCAGGAAGGACTGAGCCATCTGATTTCCATCATTCGGGACGACATGGACGACCTGAAAACGATCGAGCGTGGGCTGAGCGATGCATCGCACACGCTTTCGCACACGCGCAAGCACTGACGTTTGCTGCACACCGCTTTGAATGTTTACACAAACTTAAGTCACACGCAGCATGCTCAATCCACAAATATTCTTCACTATGTATGTATGTTGAACTTCTTTCGCAGCGTATGTAGCCGACCGTGCTAATCGATTGGTTACGTGTGAATATTTGTGAACATTTGTGAACATTATACGTACTGTAGAAATTTTATATCTGAGCATTTGTTTTATATAAAAAAAATTAAAAGGAATTTAACACAATGCATTTGGTTTCATGAAGTCCATCTGAAATATTACATGTTTTTGTAACAGGAGATTCTATTGGAAAACATTTTAGAAAATAACTGCATGTTATTGGTAAATAAGGGTATTGGTAAATGTATTACTTAAAATATTTACTTCAAATTGTACTTCAATTTCATAGGGCCATAAAAGCCTGTCTCGGGTACAAAGACAAAGGTCCCCCGTATAGCCTGAACAGACTGGGTAAGTGCTGTTAGCGAGCACCTGTGAGGGCTGGCAGGGCACACGAGGGGATGGGTGGGCCAGCACCACGCCCGGCTGCCGTTATGCTCCCCCAGTGGTGATGTTTACACACCGCACCAGGTACTCGTTTGAGGCTAAGTCAACCTAGGGGAGGCCCAGGACCGGTTCAGATAATCGTCACTGGTGTTAGCCGTGGGCGGGAATCAAACTCGGGTCGCCAGGTTCGTAGCGCAGCGCGCTTACGGCTGCACGACCTCTCCCCACAGTCTGCTCCCCACACCTCCACATACTCTGCTGTATTTTCCAAGTGTCCCACATGTCTACAATCGCTTAGCAAGCTTGTACATGCCACTTATTTTGCTCATTTAAATTGAGGTCCACTGTACAACCTCCCTAAGTTTGTCATATCCTATAGATATTTTGTCATTCCGCTTCTTTGCCCAGAAAAGCCTGAATCTCTAAACGCTTGGTCCTGCCAAGTTTTTAGTAGGCGTGATGATGCTATGTGTACTCCCAATTTAGTAAGTTGCAGCATTGGGATATTAGGCTGTCGGTTACATTTGATGTTTTTACTGGTAGGAACCTCCTGGTTACACCAGCCCACAAGGGTTTATTGTGTTCGTCGTGCAGGGAGGGGCTGGGTGGGGAGGGTTGGGCTGGGTGGGGGGTGGGGCTGGGTGTGGAGGGGCTGGTCACCCCGTGGTGCCCTTATAAAACTCAACGTTTAACCTACTCACGCCGGCTTGTGCCCGCCCTCAGTCGGGCATATTTGCGGAATACACCACGCCGCCGTTGACCCTGCAGGCCATTGACCGAGCAACCCAACGTTCCTACCAGCTCCCTCCGCAGGAATGCGTTTTAGACATACAACTGAGGAAACGCATGAACAAGTGGTGAACATGCAAACACCACACATGGGCCCGAAGGGCCTTTGCTGTGAGCCACAAGTGATATAATTATGCTACCCTGCCGTATAAATGTCTCCATATAATTGGAGATATCTAAAAAAAAAATCCGTCAACTTAGTCAAAACTTTATAATGATCATATTATTGTGAGAATTTTATTTATAGATTTTTTTATTATTTAATTGTTTCCCTTCTACGTGACTTTACCGAAATAACCAAGAATATGAATCCCTGCAGTCACGAAAGCTTTAAATCAAAATGTATAATGATCCTTTCCATGCACACTTGGATACAACTTTTAGGAGTTGGTGATGTGGCCTTTAACTAACACGTCATTCACAGCTTGTCGGGGTTTGCGGTTTTAATCTAGCAGGGTGCCTTAGTTGATACTGCGCGTGTATTAACTATAAGCTAGTACAGTACGCGCCGTTTGCGTCTGTGGATGTGATGGAATTTGAATTTGATGTAATACGGAAAATTCGGGTTAAGGATTGTTCTCGGGAACCGAACCCTTCCGTAACCCGGGGAAAGCCTGGACAACCGAAGTGGCCATTACACTATGTAACGTGATTTTTGTTCCTGGGTAGTGTTATTTTGTAATTGCTTATGCCTCAAAAGTATAGGAAATGGCTATTATTCCCCACAAACTTTGCTTTTGTGACCAGGACTTTACGTGAAGGAATAACACAAATGCGCACGTTTTCTTATTGAAAATAGGTCAATTTCAAAATATCACTGTCCTGGTCACAAAGCAAAGTTTGTGGGGAATAAACGCCATTTTCTGTACTTTTGAGGCATAAGCAATTAGAAAATAACACTACCCAGTAACATTTTTTTGTTACGCAGTATTATCAGCACGAGTTACACAACGCATGTTACGTGGTGCCCTCTGGTGGCCATATGCAGTACTTTAAGTCGTACAATACCGTCATGTGGCGCCCTCTGGTGGCCATACGAAGGACTGCAAGTTACACAAAAACAAGACACCATTTCGTGGTGATCACGTCAATCTTAATTTGATTTGCCAATATAGCCCTCAATAAAGTAGGCATCGGTGCAAATTACAACGTCATCGCGGCGCTTGTGCCAGGCTACGTGCACTTCAAAGCCACGCGAAGTGTCGGAACGCACGCTGGCAGGAGGTTACGGGACAGACCCAGGTTCCTTGGGTTGACTGGCAGATGTGCCACCTCCTGTGCCAACGTGCTGCATTTTTGGCGCTCTGCTCGTTGTTGCTGAGCGTCGCTCCTCTGCCCTCCGCCGTTGTTGGAGGGCGACTGCAAATTGTACAACGACAGATTCCCCCGTATAGCCCTTAAAAGTCTCTTGGCGCAAGTGCCTGTTGTATTTGAGCAGTTCCCGGACACGTGAGGTCCTCTCGTGGGCGAATCTATGGCTGCAGATAATTGGGTGAAGCTGCATTGACAGCGGAGCACGAAAGCAATGAACGTTCACCACAACAAACGCCTCACATTCGTTCATATTACTGTGGCCTTAAACAAGAACAAAGCGTACAGGCGACATTTCAAGAAATGGCCCATTCTGTCCGAACCGGCGACTCCCCTCTTCAGCAGCGGTGATGACCTTCCGTCTTTCCAAGTAGGTGCGAGGCCTCGTCCCGTGACCTCTGGTGGTGGTGGTTGGAGTGGGACCGGAACCCTGAGAGGAGGAGGCTGTCTTCTCGTTCCGCTAAACGACCTTAACGAATATGGACCTCCACTAAATAACCTGACTAACATGGACCTCCACTAAATAACCTGACCAACATGGACCTCCACTAAATAACCTGACCAACATGGACCTCCACTAAATAACCTGACCAACGTGGACCTCCACTAAATAACCTGACTAACATGGACCTCCACTAAATAACCTGACCAACATGGACCTCCACTAAATAACCTGACCAACATGGACCTCCACTAAATAACCTGACCAACATGGACCTCCACTAAATAACCTGACCAACATGGACCTCCACTAAATAACCTGACCAGCATGGACTTCCACTAAATAACCTGACCAACATGGACCTCCACTAAATAACCTGACCAACATGGACCTCCACTAAATAACCTGACCAACATGGACCTCCACTAAATAACCTGACCAACATGGACCTCCACTAAATAACCTGACCAACATGGACCTCCACTAAATAACCTGACCAACATGGACCTCCACTAAATATCCTGACCAACATGGACCTCCACTAAATAACCTGACCAACATGGACCTCCACTAAATAACCTGACCAACATGGACCTCCACTAAATATCCTGACCAACATGGACCTCCACTAAATAACCTGACCAACATGGACCTCCACTAAATAACCTGACCAACATGGACCTCCACTAAATATCCTGACCAACATGGACCTCCACTAAATAACCTGACCAACATGGACCTCCACTAAATAACCTGACCAACATGGACCTCCACTAAATAACCTGACCAACATGGACCTCCACTAAATACTGACCCAATATGGATCTCCACTAAATACTGACCCAATATGGATCTCCACTAAATACTGACCCAATATGGATCTCCACTAAATACTGACCCAATATGGATCTCCACTAAATACTGACCCAATATGGATCTCCACTAAATACTGACCCAATATGGACCTCCACTAAATACTGACCCAATATGGACCTCCACTAAATAACCTGACCAACATGGACCTCCACTAAATATCCTGACCAACATGGACCTCCACTAAATACTGACCCAATATGGATCTCCACTAAATACTGACCCAATATGGATCTCCACTAAATACTGACCCAATATGGATCTCCACTAAATACTGACCCAATATGGATCTCCACTAAATACTGACCCAATATGGATCTCCACTAAATACTGACCCAATATGGATCTCCACTAAATACTGACCCAATATGGACCTCCACTAAATAACCTAACCAGCATGGACCTCCACTAAATAGCTTAACTGTATGTGGAGTGTTTGTGCAGCAGTTAAAGACTCCCATAGACTTTGTTAAAGTCTCCCATAGACTTCAATTTTGAAACTGGTTTCGAGACTGTCCGAATCGCTTACAAAGCGACTTGCAGATCTGAAAACCGACTAATTTTGGAGTCTCGAAGATCGTTCTATGCTTTGCAAATCAATGAGTCGGCTCATGACTACCGTGCTTTGTGGTACGTCGTGAATGGTCTGCTGCACACCAGCCACCCATCAACTAGTCAATCCGATCTGTGCACAGTACTTGTGACCTTCTTCGTCAGTAAAAGTGATGATCAAGACGGCAGTTTCCAACTTGAAGGCAACGCATTCTCCCGGTCTGCCATCTGAGTTTGATCAACCTGGAACAGATGCAAAACTCTAGACCCTGGCACCAACGTTGATGGCAGGGGTGTCGATGTTCACCACACGGCTGCCAAATAAAACATCGCCGCTCGACTACATCCACACGTCGATTATCAAACCACGCTAGGACGTGTTTGATTGTCTATCGAAATTGAAATAAATAAAAATAAATTTAACCGTTGGATAGCCACCGCCTTAGTGCTGCGTGGAAGCGAATCATAAAATAATACATTATTTAAATGCATGCCTACAAAGGGAAGCGTACTTCAATAGAGATTACCGTTGTGGAATATTTTAATACACACAATAGACAGGAAGGGCAAGATCAAAGGACTCACATAATGAAAATGCATAATGTACGTTGACTCAGTAATCCCCCCCCCCCACTTTACGCAAGAGCGCAGAAGCGTGGTCACCACATCTACGCCTCTATATAAGGAACGAAACAGGTGGACTTCTCCACAAATCTGGCTGTCGCCTGATGAAGCTAGTTGTAATTACTGGCGAAACGTCGCACTCAGATTGTA